GGCGCCTATCCCTATCTCTAGTAGTAGTAGTAATAGTAGTAATAGTAGTAATAGTAATAATAAGATATATTTATAATTACTTCTTAATTAATTAATTAACTAATAATTAATTATATAAGAAGAGCCTATATCCTAGCCTTAGTCTTAGCCTAAGGGTAAGAGAAAGGTATATTTTTAATTACTTTTAAACTAATTAATAATAATTAATTAATAAATTATTATATAAGCGCTTATCTCTAGTAGTAATAATAATAATAAAAATAATAGTAGTAATAATAAGGTATATTACTAATTACTTATAAACTAATTATAAATTTATTAATAATTTATTATTAGAAATTTAATATCTTATATTATATTAATAAGGTATATAATAATATAAAAATATATAAAAATATAAGTATATTACCTAATATTACTTATATAGTTTATAAGTCTATTAATACTAATAAGTAATTTAAAATTAGTTATAAGCTTATTACTAATTAATTATAGCCTATCTTTTATATATATATAATATATATATTATTTAAGTTAAATATAAAAAAAAACTACTTTTTAAATAATTATAAAATAATTATTAACTAGTTATATAATAAGGGATTATATATTAGTAGTAGATAGTAGTAGAGGATAAAAATTACTTTATAATTAGTTTAGAATTTATTACTAAAGATAAATATATTAAATTTAACTTATATATAACTAATTTATAACTAATTTATAAAATAGTAAAGATACCTTAATATATATTATAAGTAATTAATAACTTATTTATACTTAATATTTTCTATAATATTAGATAAAAAAAGACTACTTTACTATATAAGTACTCTATACTAATTCTTAAAGTGGGGGGCACCTTAGCTAAGGGTGCCCTCCCTTAGCTTAACTGGCTAAGGTACCCTCAGTTGAGGTGCATCCACGTGTGAATTACCTTAATTAGGCCCCATTTTACAATCATATCTTTCCCCATGATTGACCCAAATGTTGACCGAGTACGTAATCACTCAAGCGACGCCCTGCAGTTTTCGGAGCATTCATGACAATCATTCCATCCACTTGCACCAATACGTCGCCCTTGCACTTGTCAGAATCGGGCAGACAGGCAACGAACTCTTTGACGCATCCAGTCCGCCAAAAAGACTCAAATCTTGCTTCGGGCTAGACCAATCCACTGGGATAGATTGCCGACCGAAAGCCGCTCGTGCGCTGTCTAGGGGTTCAACCGATTCCGCGCGATCCGATGTGGCGTTTGACCAATTTAGCACACATTGCTGCGTCCCAACCATCAACGCCATCTCCGAACCGCAAGTCAGCCCGAGTCCGTACGGCTTCTCCGTATCGTGCCAATTACCATCAGCTCATTAGCTCATTACCGTCCTTTATCGCTGTGAGTCCGCCCTGTCGCCCCTGTCGCCCCCGTCGCCCACTGTTACACTCTGTGGACCGTGCGTCCATCTACAGTCTCTACCGGTCTCACATGCCACTATCCGCACGCGACAGCGACACGTATTTTTTCCTTCTCGCTCGCAAGATCCGATATCCCGTGTCTTCCCGCTTTCTACGCTCCAGTGCTTCTGCGGCTACCCTTGACAAGCACATGCTGCTCGGAGTGACCGATAAAAAGTCCAACAGCCGAACATGCTACCTGATGTGTTGGTGTAATCAAGACTTGCGAGCGCTGCAATAGCGTTGCATCAGACCTGGCAACTGTGGTGAGCGTAACTGCCGCCCTTGTAACAGTTCGGCAAGTATGACACTAATGTGATGCTATTCTACAAAATATCACCCAAACAAGAGCCGAAAGAACAGAAACACGTGCGTTATTCGTCATCTAGACTGGCTGGTTCACTTGCGTCACGTTTGCTTCTGGTGTCAATGATGCGATACCACAAGTAATCATCACGAACTGCGCGATATAAACCTCTACCGGTAAATTTTCAAACCGATACACAACCGTGGAGCAGTATCAGTGTACCACATACCGGACGAGAACCTGCATAAGCTCGTCGCTGATCTACGTATACTTCTTATCGGCCGAAAAACTCCGAAAATTGAGGTCCTGTCTGTGGGCTCATTGGCCTCTTACCTATCGTCCCCTCGGCGTTTTGGGGGCTAGATTATAACTACTTGAACTCGCTTAGAGAGAAAAGATCGCGCTAATGCAAGGCCCGCTCGCTCAGCTGATTACTGATTTTCTGATATCCATGTCGCTGATCCGCGGAATTTAGCCGGAACCAAGACCCCATACCACGGACGTTGCGGCTCAATTAGAGTTTGGCGACAACATTATCGGGCGACAACATTGTCGCAGGTGCAGACATCGCGATTAATGCCAGCCTCTCTGGAATATGCCTATATCGGAAAATTTGACTCGTTGACTGCTTCCTTGGTCGTCAATCGTGGCACCATCGGCCCTCGCTCCTCTTTTCAGCATAATGTATGCTATCTCACCACACCCAATAAGTTCCAGCCCCAAAACCTGCGCAGCATATCAAGTGGGCAAAATGGTGCTACACCATTCAATTCAGGAATTGGCTGTAAATCGCTCCGCTTTTCTCGGTCGCCAGTTGTCTAGGCCTTTATGTTGATAGACCAACTACCGTGGTGCTATTTTGAAGGGCTTTACAAGCTGGACCAGCTATCTATAATAATGATAATAATACCAAGCTTTGTCGCTCGCTCGTTTGAAAAATTCCTTTCCATTGCCTTTCAATTGCCTTTCCATTGCCTTTCCAATTGATACCCGTAAAATACTTGTCTCATTCTACATGTACCCGCCGCACAATGCACTTTGCCTTTTTGACGAACCCGGCCTCGGGCCAGGTCAATGTCCACTTCGCAACGGCTCAGCAGCTCCTTTCTCAAGGCCACCGCATCACATTTCTCTCGGCAGAATCATGTGGTAGCAAGGTTTCCCGTTTTCGTGATTGTCAGGCTCCATCACTTCAGACTCTTGTTCAATTCATGAGTTTGGGTTCTGCGCAAATCATTGAAGACTAGTAAGTCGACCTTGGCTACGAGCCACATTGGGATTTTTTCTTCTTTACCAATTTGCTAATCGAGTTACTCACAGTACGAAATTAGCACAAGTAGAGCTGTCAACTATGCAGGGAACCCCCGGAAGCATTCGAAGTTTAGTGACGGGTATCAACGGAGCATTTGGTCCCAGTGAAGTCTACGCAGCAATAGTCATCAAGGTCTCGAAAACTCTGGAAGAGTTGGACCCTGACATGAGTGAGTTGACGCAATATTTTTCATTATTCTCGCAATACAGCATAATCTAATGATTTGGCAGTTTGTGTCGACTGCTTCTCGTCTCCCTACATTCACGGAACGCGATTGACACAACGCAAGTACATGGTCTTTGTGCCCTGCTCTCCTGGTCTTACTGCCTCGCGAGGAAGCTTTATCCCTCATCCCATCGCTGGAAATCGTAAAAGATCATGGGGAACACTTGCCGAGAGTGAGTAAATCAAGTACAATTCCATGGCCACTCAAAACTCACACTTACTTAGACGTCGTCCTTCGAGCGCACGAGTTCCTCCACAGCCGCACCGATGCCAAACGACTTGCCAAGCACCGCTTACTACTAAAGGGTCTCAAGTTGAAGTCGTTTGGATACTCTGAGGATACGTGGATTCTGCCGCCATATTGGAAGGATCCCAACTGCGTGGCCGGTGTCCACTTCAACACCTTGGGCCTCGCAGACTGCCCAGAGCAGCCGTCCAAGCTAGCTTTTGTCGGGGCCGGTCTTTGTCCTGACATGTCCCCCATCAGCTCCGAACCAGATGAGGACGTTGCTTGGATGGATGAGGCTCTGAGCCGTGACGAGCATGTCGTCTACATGAACATGGGATCCATGTTTATCTGGCGAGAAGAAGATTTTTGGAACTGCATGAAAGCGTTTCAAAACCTCAGCAACAACCTACACGGCCGTGTACGCTTCCTCGTCAAGATCAACTCGCCCATTGCGGCCGTCAAGGACGCTTCGCTCAATTTCCACATCAACCAAGCGGACCTGCCGTCGTGCGTTCGCCTCACGCACTGGGTCAAGGACCAGGTCGCCATTTACTCACACCCGGCCCTCCGCGTCTTCATCCACCACGGCGGCGGCAACTCGTTCAACGAGGCCGTCCACTTTGGCCTGCCCCAGCTCGTGCTCAGCCAGTGGTTCGACACGCACGAGTACGGCTTTTGCGCGGAAAAGTTTGGCCTCGGCTTCCGCAGCCGACGTCCGCCGCGCATCGAAAGGGCCGACGTGGAGGCGAAGCTGCGGCGCATGCTCGGCAATCAGTGGCCCGTGTACAAGGAAAACTGCATGGCGTGGGCGGTGCGGAGCCGGATTGGCGGCGGTGCGGTGGCGGCGGCGCAGATGGTGGCGGCACATGCCGAGCAGAGCGAGAAGAGCGCATCGCATCAGTCTTCGCGTAAATCTTCATTGTGTTATTTAAAGGTGGATCGCGTGATTGAAAAGGTCCAGGTCAAACACTCGTCATCATTTTGATGAGGCGAGATGAAGTTTTTGAAATGGTGATTATTAACAAAAAGATGGTGGTTAGATTATTGTGCGCATTGAGCGTGGTACGAATCTTGCAATGATATCTTATGACTGTTTTCCATTGCTTTGCATGCAGATCATTTCTTCCATGTCATATTATAATAATTAATCATGAACTTTTTTCCATTGCTTTGCATGCAGATGTGCTTCTTCCATGTCATGTTATAGTTGTCAATTTTGCTACAATTTGCGTGATTAAACTAATCCCTTTCAGTGTCCCAACAGACGTACGTAGCCTCGGAATTTACCTTTTCCATTCAAGGTCTATTTAAAATTTTGCCAGCGTGCCATCTTGCACAGAAAAGGCTACCCGTCTAAATATACCCAGGATGGTATCCATGAGCCCAACAACCTCATCTCGGTCAAAAAACTTTTCATCAAACAGCATATTGCACCTCATGTCTCCGCGAAAACTAAAAAGCGCAAAGCACACGCTAGAATCCGTGTTGCGGCCTCCCGACCGAAAGTGAACGAGCTTTGCTTTGTGAACGCCGGCGGCGGCATCATTGCTCTCTCGACGAGCGGCAGAGTCCTGTTTGAAAAACTCTCCCTGGGAAGTCAAGGTAGGTCGGCATACGCGAGGGACGGCACGAGGCTGATGGCGCGACTCCATGGCCGCCTGGAACGCTGTTGGCGCGAGCTCGTCATAGACGGCGATGATGTGCTTGGAGACCAAATCCTGGTTCTGCAGGGTTTGTATCTTGCGGGCCATTTCAAAGACGTCGTGTGGCTTGACTTGTCCCGTGTTGATAATGTCGGCTCGGTCGAGCCACAAGGCGCCGGGCAGAATGCTCATTCCCACTGGACCTCGGGTGTCGCTTGCGCGGGTGTCGAGCCAGCGCTGGCCGTTTCCGCTAAAGACCAGATGCGCTCCCTCTTCGCTCCCGTCGCTGTAGCGTGCTCTGATGCCTGCCGTGATGCAAGCGAAAAACAATGTTGTTATGGTGACACGCTGCATTTTGGCAGCGGCCAAGGCTGCCTTGACCTCGGCGGCAGAGAATGTGGCCTGCTCATTGTGAATGAGACTTGGGCGGGTTTCATGATCCGGATGGACAGGTATGCCGATGGAGGAGCGTTGCCATCGCTCTTGAGCGTGCTCGTATATCCTCCACGCCTCCTCGCGTTCTGCCTCTGTGATGGCTGGGTGCTGGTTTGCGTAGGCCTGCCCGAGACTCTGTGGCAATCTGTTGGCTACTAGAGTGGCCGTCTCTGGAAGAAAGATTTGCTCCAAATCAACGTCGCACTCTCTTGCCGACAAGTTGCTCACAAAGGAGTCGATGATTTGATACACATCAAGGCTGGTGAGCGTGTGGGAAATATTCACAACGCACCCCAAACGACCAGACAAAGGCTCAAGTATCACTGTTACTTTCGTGACATCTGATGCCTGGCGATATTGCTTCATCAATACCTCTTCGCAGGTGACATTTTTCTCGAAAATGCAAGTCTCCGATATCCAAAGCTTCGCATCATTGACAGACTGTATCGGCTTGAAAAATGCCTGCTCCAAGCCCAGAGTAACGCCAATCAGTGGCAGAGTCTGTCTGGTGAGCCACCAGGATGTTTGGCATCGCCTTCTCAGCTCAATCTTTGGGATATTTGTTTCAAATTCTCCCAGAATGTTGAGTTGAAACTAGAATTGAAGTGACAAATGAGCGCCATGTCTGACTATTCCGGCAGTTGACAACCTACGTTTCCATTATTGGTGAGCTCCGAGGCCCTGACTATCAGCTCTGTTCCTCGGAGCTTTCGAGTCAACTGGCCTGTGGCCAAGTCTAGATCCCATTTCGATTTGGCTTGCGACATGATTTTTTTCCCTTGACTTGATAAGGGGATTTGGAAGTACTATTTGTCATGTGAATCATAAATGATGACCTGGGCTCAGAGGTTGTGCCGTGGTAATAAACAGCGCAAAATACGACGTGGTGATTACTTGCATGATTACTTGCATCCATGTCAAGTTAGGCCGGCATTTCTTTTGAGCATCATCTGTTGAACACGTGGGCCTACGTGATTATTATCTGACTTGATAGCTCGGCTGACTCTATTTCAGCCTTGATTGCACTTGTACTGCGGCTTGCATTCTAAGCGAGATATGAGAGCCGCCTACCGGCCATCCCGATGGCCGCTACGCTATCATGAATTCGCTAAACAATAAACTAGTGCCATCGTTGGTCAGTCCATGGCTCTTGGAATAGAGGGTTAATTTGCCCAAAGTCTATCCAACTAGTAGATAAGCAACAGTGATAACATGAACCGAGACCCGACCCAAAGTTGCAATGCTGATGTGGAGAGATCTCGGAGAATTGCTTAAAATGGACGGTGCGGAAATCATGCCAATCATCTCCCGAACTAGACTCGTCTCGAAACTGAGAGCCGCGAATGTAGATAACGGCCTGCAAGTTGTTGTAAGGTTTTCGGTCAAACCTAATTGCTTGCGCCCACGCCCCCCCTTTGACTATACCTACGCCCAGGCATTTTATTGTAAGTCAATGGATGAAGGATGCCTGGCCTTTGCTCTCTTGAATAAAAGAATATTTTATTTTATTTTTCTTGGCTCTTTTTTCCCGCCAGAAGAGAGAAAAAGAAAAGACTTGTGCTTCTTACTCGATAGCTACGATGAGTATTGTCCAAGAGACTGAACCTGCGCATCTCTGGCGCGAGATTGCGGTTGGCACTTGGTCGCGAGTCTGTCTTGGCGAGGAGCAAACTGCTTCGTACATGCAGAATATCCGCGATGGCCACACAGAACTCACCATCGAAGTGCCATTTACTTGCAACATACCATCTGTACCGGAGCTCATCAACCGTGCGAGAAACGCCTGGCTAGTATGCCATTCGCGGTTTCCTCAGGGAGCTATCGAGATCTCGACTGGCACAGAGCTTCCGCAGACGCTGACCTACCCGGTGCTTCGCTCCGACCATGATGCAGCTGTCTGGATGCAGGACACGTTTGTTGTCGTCGCAGACCAGAGCTCTGGAGAGGTGGCAAAGCATACCTACAGCCGTCGCCTGACTACCAAGGGCAAACGCAGCATGCTGTATCTTGTCATTGATCCGTCAGCAGCAGGCCTGCATGCGCTCGTGTGGAATGTCAGCCATGTTGTTTCCGACGCATTCAGCATCCCGATCTTCATGAATGAAATCTTGGATCAAATGACAAAGGTTCCCGGAGACGTTTTGCTCTCTGTCAAGGACGTCGATTTTCGTGGTGTCGTGGATCGACTACCTATTCATCCTGCGGTCCTCTACGAGGCTCGTTATCGTCCAAATGCCGAGCAAAGAGAACAAGCCATGGCCGAAATACTCGCGCAAGAGTATCTATACAAGTCTCACGTAAGTTGAGCCTCTCTTTCTGCTTCTTCATGTACCTTTTGAATAAAGAGCCGCAAAGTACTTGGGGTCGCTAACGCTTTCAAAATTGGCAGATTGGAGAGTCCATCAAGATGTACCCCAGATCCGACAATGAGGCTCGCCAGCATGAGACGCATTGCTTGACCTTGCAATTCTCTTTGGAAAAGTCTCGAAATCTGCTAGCCGAGCTTCGTCGCGAGAAATTGAGCATCACGTATGCAGCTGCGGCGGCTACGCTTCTCGCCGTCCACTCAACCTACGCCCAGGGTCGGGAAAAGGGCGCTCTGCTGGGCATGACGCGCAACGCCCGGCGATGGGTAGACACGGACAAGGCCTGTGCTAGCGCATCCAGCGCCATCTTCCTCTGGATTCCATTCGAGAAACGCTGGCTGCAGGGCTCGACACGAGACAGGGTGCTCGCCATCGGGCGAGTCATCCGAGAGCAGCTGCAGCCGTACCTGGCATCGCCTCACCACCTGTCCTTGCCCAGCTTGTCGTTTGCGTCGCAGCGGTCCATTAACGGGATGCATGCTACAGAGGCAAGTAACCCGCCTGCCACGCCCTGTCCTCCGGGCTTCTCCCCGCAGGGTATTATTGGCCTGAAGCGGGCTTTTGACTCGAATGGCGTTCACATTGAGGCGCACAATCTTCGTCACACTGGGAGGCAAATTAACGAGTCTCCCTGGGTTGGTCTATTTTCTCTTTGGGATCGCCTCACTTTGTCTCTGGGCTTTGATTCCAAGTACCACGACCCTGCCACAATGTCCAAGCTGATGGCGGATGTTCAGTACAACCTTGGCTCAGTCGCACGCACGTCGGCGAAGCTGTAGATATTGTGTTTATAGTAACATCAAGAAGAAATTTCAAGTGAATTCATATCCTAGTACCTGGTAGTTGAAATATCTGCAAAAAAAAAAAAAAATCCAAAGAAAAAGACAAGCTACAGCTTACTCTTTGGCTCTCGTAGCACAGTATTGTATTTGCCAAAGCTGCGAGGATCCTGCCATTGATCTTTGCTTGCGAAGCCGAGAATCCACACACCTCCATCAACATCCCCCAAGCAAATATAAAAGTCGCGGCGTGAGCTGTTGAAAACCATGTGGCCATCAATGGCACACACCGAGACTGCTGTCGCGGTGTTATCGCCGTCCAGTCGAGCTGGAGTAAAGTCGACTTGCCCCAAGCGCACCGCCCGCCAGTCCGTGACGCCCGTGATAAAATGATTTGGTTGACAGGGAACAGCGAGCTCCCCGGACGGGCTCTTCCACAGACCGTGGTAGAAGTGAAAGTTGAGCCACTTCTTAATGTTTTCGGGGCTGGTGTTGGCCTTGATGCCGCGGCGAATGTGCAGCGCCAACTCGCCCAACGGCAGCGACATGACTTTGCCGGCTGTGAGGCTAGGCAGCGCAATAGCCATGGCACCACATAGCAGGTCATTCTCTGCAAGGCTCTTTGGGTCCATCTCTGGGCCTGCTGGCGGTCTGAAGCGACCGTTTGAGATTGTCACTGCGGTGCTCGGCTGCTCCGGGGCCAAGTGAGCGTGGCTATGCTTCAGCAGCCAGGCGTAGAGCACATCTGATCGACTGACGTAGAAATCCTTCTTCTTCTTCTTCTTCTTCTTCTTCTCCTTCTTTGCCGTCGTGGAACCGCTGTCTTTGGCCTTGTCTCCAGACTGCTCGTCCAGCCTCTTTTGCAAAAAGGTCAAGTCATAGCGCGCTCTGTCCTCGAGCGCCTCTACAAACTCGTTGGGAATGAAGATGCGCCGATCTTCAATGGTGCTTTCGGGTCGCTTGACGTAGTAGTCCCACAAATGTCTTTTCAAAAAGCGCGCCTTGTCGAGCATACCGTATACTTGCCAGCCAGGCGGTGGCGCGGGACTCTTGTCGGGCGCGTTCTGCGCGGCAAACTCACCACCAGGCTCGTAGCCCATGAAGGGATCCGCGTCTAGCCGCTCATAAGGCTGAACAATGTTTCCGCAAAGAGCAGCTTCCCACGCTTTGAGAAAGGACTTGATGGTTACTAGATCCCCAAACGCATGATTGACGGAAAATGTAATCATGGTTGCGTCACTGAAACGTGTGATTTGAATCGTAGTCTGCGGCCGGCCCCGGTCAAGCATTTCCTGAAAGTTTTCGACGGCATTGAAAGCTGTACATTGCTTTTGGTCCGGCAACTCAGGGCCTTGACTAATAAAAATACCGCCCTGGGCTTTGCTTGGCTCTTTCGGGTTGGTACCGAAACCAGGGCAATAACTCTTAATGGATCGATGCGATTCATCCAAGCAATAAAAGTCTCGCAGATGTTCCGGGACATGATTCTGCCTTTCCAAGTATTTGGCCATTCCGGTGGGGGTAAGCACATGATAGGCAAGACCGGACGGTGCCGCGTCGCACTTCTTCATTTGGGCTTGCATAATCGGCCGGACCTGGAGAGCTGTGATCCAGGCAGCGTGCAGCTTTTCAAAGGACAGCGGTGCATCAAAGACGACGGTGACTCTGGCCTGGAGCTCTGAATCAGCATGTATTATCAAGATGGAAGTTGGAGTTTTGTCAGCCGAACCAGCAACGTACCATCAGCTCGACACTGTAAATAGAAGGCTTACATTAGAACCTGCGAATCGACTGCTGTACTCATTTCGGACTCACTTACTTGCTCACAGTGGCATTCAAAAACGGAATCGGAACTACAGTGTAGTCTTCGGGGTCCATTGTTGTAGCCATTTCTCGGGCGAAGCTGCTTCGCTTCTTGCTGGGTGCAGTTTGTTCAACGACAGCAATGAAAATGAACGTTACAGTCTTGATCCTTTGAAATTGATCGACACTGGTAATGTATTCGAAAATGATTGAGATGGAAGTGATATGCAGAAACCCTCCGACTCCTCCCATTGCTAGATAACTGTCGCACACCCGGGGCGTCTCGCTAGTCCGTGCAGACAAGAAAAGTAGTGCATGGGTCTAGGCCCAGCATCGGCTCTCCGCTATCAAAGGCTTATATTCCTCGCCTATGCACGTCCTCCGCACTCTACACTCCATAAACCTAGACAAGCTTTTTCTGTTGCACCCTGGAGGATCCCCTCTTATCGCAGGGATCGGCAGGGCCCGGTATTCAGTCAGCACGAGTAGTTCGCAGTTCGCTAGCCGACGTGCTACCTAGCTAGACAGGACATGATCTAGGGTGGGGGGCGTTTAGCTTGTTTTCGGCAACTACAAGGTACGACGACGACGGTCGCGGATTAAACCGCTCATGAACATGTTCCTATCGCAATAGCACATAAAAATCGAGGCATATTTTTTTTGGGACTCTCGTTCGGCTGAGAGTTACTCATCAGCATGTGAGAGACTGTCTAGCAGGTAGGATGGAATTCTAACCGTCTCTTTTGCTTACCAGTCACATATTATACATCGGGTCTAATCACAGCAGCATCAAAGATACTGTCTCAGACAGTAGTATCCGGCATTTCGTCGTGTCTGCCTTCATAATGCGGCCTTTATCCAACTCTAATGGGTTCAATAGAAGGGTGCAAGGACCACAATTCAGTGGGAGACACTCGGCGTATTCGCACACAACGTTCTGTAAACTCGAGTGACCAGAGATACTTGTAAATTTAAGCTGGTTTGCATACAGAAAATGGCCTTCTTCCAAGCTATCACAGCCAGCTAGCCAGCTACGAACGCCTTCACTCAGGAAAAAAACGACAAGTATCCTTTCCTCACATTCTTTGCCACCTTGTTCCGCCAACTGGGCGCTATACTGCCACCTCGACCCGCCGGCCCAGACCTTGTCCAGCGCGGCGCCTCCCTGTCCATTTCGCTGTCGCGTTGCATGCGCCGGCACGTTGCGACTGTATTCGCACTCGACGCTGGCGCGCACCGTGCCGCGGAGCACCGCCGTGAAGCTGCGCGCGCTGAGGACAACCCCGGAGGCCCCATCTCGACGAGAAACGGCGGAAACGACGTGTCAATGTTCTGGAGCCGAGTTCCTCGGCCACGAGACGGGCCGAATCAGCTCCGGGAACATGGGGAGGGAGCCGGTACGAGAAAAAGGAAATGGTACGAGGAAATAGAACTGGTACGAGGAAAGAGAATTGGTACGAGGAAAGAGAATTGGTACTACTTATACATTGCGTAGCTAACAGGGCCGGAACAGAGAAGGCCCTGAAAGAATCTCAAGGGATGGCCATGTCAACGGCGCGAGTCAGCGCATACGCCCTGTCACAGGACGTCAGCCTGCCATCGATCAAGGTAGTCTGTAAGTAGCAGAGGATAGACTACAATGATGATGGCATGAGCTGCTTCATCTGAAACGTATAAATATGTGCTTCTCCACCACTTGATTTCCCAATTAGGCAACTGTCGGTAAGCTACCGACGACACGCCAGTCCCATGTGGCCTAGCATCATAATTCAGCACTGCAATCAAGCCAAGTCAGATAGATGCTAGCAGTGCAGCTAATTTTACTTCTTCATGATATCTAGCGTCATCGTCTCGCGCTGGTAGCCGTCTTTGGGCCGTCTCGAACCAAGAGCCTCACTTTGCCTTCGCCAATCTCCACGCCCTGGCTCAGAATATCTACCGACTTGTCCTCTTGTCTAGCCAGTGATTTATCCCAGCTTCTGGCATCTATCCCCAGTATACCTCCCATGTTGTTGCGGTCTCCTGGAACGGAAAATTCACGATAGGCATATTTCCATTCGTTGAGAAAATTCCTGATCGACTTGCCAACCTTGTCTTTTCCATTCTTGCTGTGATTTCCAGTGCCCGTGATGGCATAGACGGGACGGGATTCGTTAATGTTACCCATCAGTATCTTTTCTAGATACTCTACAGCTTCGTCGGGATGCAAGCCATGAAGGTCAACATATATCTCGGCCATGTCGGAAATGGGCTTGTTGCGCTCTTCGTAGAGCTCGCGAGCAGCTTCACGGTGTGCTTGTCGCATCAAGTCGTTTTCGCTCTGACCACGCAAACTGAGAGCCTTGGCTGCTCGCGCATCGTTGCGATTCCACGCTTGCGCCGCACTGCAATATAGATTAGCACCAATATCATGCCATCTTATAAGCCCTACCAACCTTTGAAGAAATTTGTTCCGTAGTCCACCGTGCTTAATGGCTTCCTGGCGAGCCTTCAAGTATGCCTTGTTGGCGCGATCGCCAGTCTCCAACCACGGGATATGCTTCGGGCTAGGAATAGCGAGAGCCGCGGCACTATTTTCTCCATTCTTGAACAATGGCGCAGCTCCATTGAGATTTCGGGTTTCTAGGCTGGGCGAGCTGCCGGGGACGGGCGAAGGTGCCGTCCTGACAATATCAGCAAGCGAGCTAGGAGCTATATTTTCTTTGTGTGCATGGCCATGGCCGCCTCTTTTGCCGTGATGCTTCTTTCCCTGCTTCAGTGAAGCTGAGCCGAGAGTCGGGAATGCTTCATTGTCGTCCAAGGCGGGAGCAATCATTGGCAGCTCTTTCGCATGCTGGCGACTACTTGGACGAGATCGCGAACGAGGGCTGTCTGTGCCGTGATAAGGCCGGAAACCAGGTGGAGGCGTGGCGGTTCCGCTGTGATATCCGTCCGAGGCTCCCGAGCTGAGAGAAGGGAAGGAGTTCAGATCCTGCAGCTGCAAGGCAGAGTGCCCCCGTGAGGGAGGAGTACTAGCGCCATCCAAGGTCAGTCTACTCGCCAGCTTGGCAGGGTCGTGAGAAAAGATGCAGGTCTCGCCAGCTAAGCAATTCCCCATGACCCAGTATCTAGAGGCGTGTTAGTACTTGACCCATGGAAGCTTACTTGATGATTGGTTTCTACATACTTGCACAAGTGATTGCTGAGATCGTGGCTGAAGCGACAGTCGGCCCTTAGACACTGGCCAGTCGACATGTAGAACTTGCAAATGACACCAGCCTTTTGCGCTGAAGTAGGCGTAGCCGGACGGCTATCAGAGGCTATAGATTTCCCAATCAGGACATTCCTGGAGTCGTCAGTAGTGAAATTGCCCTCAGCCGCCTGGCCCTCCATTATCGAGGCAATAGTGGCGCTCAGATCATAGCCATGGGAAGCAAGGGCATGTTCAATCTCATCATCGGTTTGAGAGTGGCCCAAGATCGATCGAAGCATGTCGTAGGGCGACATGTCAAGCTGCTGTGCAGATACAGATGAGGCAAATTCAGGGGCAGCAGCATTGAGACCACTCGAAGTTCCGACAAACGAAACGCTTGCAGCATCATCATTGACAAGCCATTCCACGTTTTCCGTCTGATAATCGCCGAGTATCTCAGGAGCGGGGGTGGCATCGCTAGCAAATTCGTAGGCATTGAGGTTTGGACTATGGGGAATCGCAGGTGTCGCAAATGCCAAGCGTGGCGAGGCTCGAGGGGACGAAAAGGGCGATGCCGTGGATGATATTGATCGGTACGTCGAGGGTACGAAGCCGGGAGGCGCAAGAGGGCTTACGCCGAGACGCGGAGAACCCGAGATAGGTGTGGCTGAATTACGCCATGATGCAGGAGACGGGCGTCGAAGAATAGACTGACGGATGGGAGGTGGCGAAGCTGAGACGGTGGTACCCTCTCGAAACCGCCAAAGGGCGTCGAGGACCACATTATCGAGTGATGAGCCGGTTAGGTTGGTCTTCTTCTTCAGCAGCTCCTCGAGCTTGTCAGTCTTATCCTCATCCTCGAGGGTGGTATCCTGCAGAATCGGCAAGCACAGTTCGTAGTGCTCGTCGGAAACCATGACGATGGTGGGTAGTAGGGGCGACTCGATCCAAGCTGCGCCAACGGAGATATTTCCAACGCGACCAGCTTCAAAGTATAGTGTGTCTCGAGCTTGCGTAAGAAGCAGAGGTCGCTTGAGAAAAAAAAGCAGAGAGTTGAAGCTAGGAAGAAGTCTAACGAGGGAAACGAGGCTGTGATTGCGCCTGTTAGCCTAAGTTGGCGCACTTTGACCTTGCAGGTGCAGGCGCGATTGCGCGGCAAAGGCTGGGAGGTTCGCGAACGTACTAGGTAGGAAGCCACGCGAAAATGCGGGGATGGGCGTCAAGAGCAGCAGAAGAATGAAAGAGAAGCGGAAGGCGGAGATCTTGAAGAGGCGCTGGCAAAAAGATGACGAATGGGGCCGGAACGATGCACAATAAATGAGGGGAATTTCAGAGAAGTCGAGAGCGGCGAGCAGGCATTGCGTCGCAACCTGTTCTCCCCTCACCAAGGTCACGCCGGGGGGGTGAAGCAGCACAAAGTCAGCGAGGTCGGCTGGAGTGGGAGCTTGTGACGTCTTGGTGCGGCCACTGCTGAGAATGAGGAGCTGCAGAGCTGACCCAGTGAATCGGAAGCGCGGGCGCAACAGCAGAATGGTTTGACTGAAGCGAGATGGCAGGGCGGCGGAGGATGGAATCTGGCGATGGGGAGCTGTCGGGGCCAAGCAAGCAAAGAGTCATGTACAGTGGGTCCAAGGGAACTCTGAGCAAATCACCACCAAACCTCCATACATTGCTGCTCGGAATTACCTAGAGGCACTGTAATAGGGGACATGGACGAGCTATCACTGGTCAAGCTGTTTTATTCAACATTTTGATAGGTCGAACTGGAGATTTGCTGTGAAACAACTGGGTTGGCGGCACGCAAGCCACACACAGCACGCCAAAGGCATTCAGTTCCAGGGGTCCCTTTGGGCCATCACTTTGTCTTCGCACAAGTATGCCGTAGTAGAATTGCTTCGTCAACCCTTTCTCGTGGTTTGAGGAACAATTAGATAAGTTACATGCCATAACTGTACCACCCCATACCACGCGCTGTACGTACTTCACGCTTGCTGCAACCTTCTCCGCACTATTTGCAGTGGCGCACCGATCAGCCTGCTTCGCACCGCCACAGCAATTGCATCACCGTTTTGCTCTAATAAGCGGATCTTCGTAATCCGTACATTTTCTACGTTCATACCATACTATGTTCATAGCCATGTGCTCAGTGAGTGTACAACCATATATGTCCCTGGCTGTACAAGTCGCAGCACCTATGGATTTTCGTCCACGTCCCCGTCGAATCCGAAACTAAACCTCTATCGTCGCCAGACTGCAAGGATACGTCACGTCGCCTTATAATCTTGATACTCGATTCGGCTCGTTTCCCAGAAAGGCCACCGCTTCGGCGAACATCCTCGGGCCCAGCGATTTTGGAAAAGAGATTTGCGTGAGCGCGATTCCGCTCCTTAGATTCACCGCCAGCTGCCTTCATCTGCTGGGGCATGAAATATCTCTCTCGCGTTAAGGAGGTCCTGCTGCTGCGCTTCCCAGTGTAAGGTTAGCAGCCACTCGGCAATGCTTAGTCGGCTAGTCACCTCGCTGCTATCCATACGTAGACATCAGAAACTCGAGCCCTTGGCGGAAATATATTTTATTACTTTGCGCCTTAGATGACAGCGTTCCACGCGCTTGTGTCGCCGGGTCTTTGTGAAAGGTAAAGGCGCGCAAATTTCTCGTCGAAAGATATAGTTGACTCTTGTCTCGGTTGTTAGACAGGTAGCCGCTGTAACACGAGAAACTACCAGTCGAAAGTCTCGACATGGAGTTCAACATTAGCATACGATTGCAAATCATTTCTTGATCGTCATCTGGAACACCTTGGCCGGGCTTGAATGCGCTCTGTCAGGACAAGAAAAATCTCTATCACTGCTAGCAAAGTTCTCATTCGGCATGCTGCTGAAACGCCGTATTCGATTACGTGTAGGAAAAGTTCTAGAATAATACTCAAGTTGAACATTGCTGCATGAAAATGGTCGATGAAGGACGTCGGAAAAGACTCGACTCTCAGCACTTTGGCCTCTTGTTGGTTGATGATGCCGCGCAAGGTGTGCCGCTAAGTTGCATCCCTTTCTAAGCTTGCTGTGGCCGGAAATGGTTATCTATGTCATGATGGGCATTCATGTGGCGCATCTCAATAGGCTCGAGCCAGCTCTTTGATAATTCGAAGTTGATTTGTCTAGCTGTTTCGGGTGGCGAGCAGTTCCGCGGACGGTATTATCAACCCCAAGAGGAGGTTAAACTGACCTTAACAACAGAGCCAATCAAAGCTCATCAGAATGCAGAATGCGAGACGCATGCAAGAATGTACATGACACATTCAAGGCTTGCAGGCTAGCTAGTTAGCTCGAGCTGCTCCAACAGTAGCATCATCATCTCGCCGGGTGGCCCACCCAGTGCGCCTGCTCAAAGGCGTCCGCCGTTGCCTTTGAGCAACTAATAGTTGCCGAGTGGGTTGACTAAGAGGATGTGCGGAATAGAGTCTGGCAATATGGATTCACTATTTCTGGTTTCACTTGTGATATCGTGCGCCGAAGGAGGCTCTGGTGGCATGGCGGTTGACACAAGCCCCTTCAGGTATGACCGAGGCATCTAAACAGATTGTTGTACGTTTAATTACCTGTGACTCAGAGTGGCAAGAACCTGCCTCTTTTACTGCCAGCCGAGCTGAGAGCAAGGCAAAAATGGATAGCTACAGCTGCAATGACTGCATGAGGTGAACAAGGCGAGTCCCCGAGATGTCTGTTGCGTGGTGTGCAAAAAAGTTTTTTGGTGGGCAATTTTCGCTATCGCCACCAGTATCTATCTACCTAAGTAGGGAGGTATCAGTACTCAGCTTTGGGAGCACAGCCCACAGCCGTGCAGGTACCTAGCACGGCCCTACACCCACCAGAGTCACAGTGCCTGCAGCACCAAGAGCCAGTTCGTCTGGGTTCCTGGGGTCGAATCGAGTCTTTCATGGGAATAGTGGGCAGAACATGAAAGGAAAGAAAAAATCGGTTTCCCCATTACTTGGCTTGCAGCATGGCTATTCGTCTGCCAACGGACGCGGTACCTAGCTCTTTGCTGGCTCGACGCGCTAACAAGAGGGTACCCTAACCTCATGACCCCACTCCTGCCACACGCGACATATTGATTGGTCACGCACTGGTGGCAGAGAAAAAAAAATACAAGTCTGTCAAACCGCCCCTCAGTCGGACAACTTTTTTTTTCTCTTCTCTCAACCCTCTACAAACAACCAACCACCAGGTATAATACGCTTTTTCCTAGGTTCTTTCAGACTCTCGTAGATTTCGAGAGCATTAGAATCTAGTCGATTACTTTTTCGCTCTTCCTTTTCCGACTTCGCCGGCCGCAGTCTTCCTTCGTGAGAAGCCTGCGATTTTTTTCCAATCGCAACCACCCCGCGAACTATTACACTCTAGGTCGAGCTGCGCTTGATCTAGATTTTTTCTACCCCAACCGCAATCATGGCTACCGACAAGGGACTCGAGGATGTTCCCGAGGGTGAGTGAACCCCTATTATTCTCGTTCATGTCGCGAACCAGTCGCATCGCTCTCAAATTGTCGCGGGGCGGGATTATCGTTTGGGGCAGGGGGCCGCGCTGCTAGCCTGCGCAGCGCAGAAGGCCCACTGCATAATTTTCCCCTCCATGTATTTTGTGTGCGCCGCGATAGCACTGGTGCTGCATTTCTCAACCACGCCAGACCTCGTCGCCAAAGGCAAAATGCACAGCATTGCTAACACACTCCTTTCTCACCAGGACACATCGAGTCCAACTACGATGAGACTGTTGACTCTTTCGATGACATGAACCTCAAGTCTGAGCTTCTCCGTGGTAGTAAGTCTGCCCTCTCCCGACTTGTGCGGGACTGCGCATCCATCGCCAGCAGTGTCCTAACCAGTCGCCTTCTCTGCAGTCTATGCCTACGGCTTTGAGCGTCCTTCTGCTATCCAGTCGCGCGCTATCATGCCCGTCATCAAGGGCCACGATGTCATTGCCCAGGCCCAGTCTGGTACTGGCAAGACGGCTACCTTCTCCATCTCCACCCTTCAGAAGATCGACCCTGCCGTCAAGCAGTGCCAGGCCCTCATCCTTGCTCCCACTCGTGAGCTGGCCCAGCAGATCCAGAAGGTCGTTGTCGCCATCGGTGACTTCATGAACATCGAGTGCCACGCCTGCATTGGTGGTACCTCTGTCCGTGATGACATGAAGGCCCTTCAGGACGGTCCCCAGGTCGTCGTCGGTACCCCCGGCCGTGTTCATGACATGATCCAGCGTCGCTTCCTCAAGACCGACTCCATGAAGATGTTCGTTCTCGATGAGGCTGATGAGATGCTTTCTGTATGTTGAGATAATACTTGCTGCTATGCAAACACTCTTACTGACATTTCTTTAGCGTGGTTTCACCGACCAGATCTACGACATCTTCCAGCTTCTTCCTCAGTCTACCCAGGTTGTCCTCCTCTCCGCCACCATGCCCCAGGACGTTCTCGAGGTCACCACCCGCTTTATGCGCGACCCCGTCCGTATCCTTGTCAAGAAGGACGAACTCACCCTGGAGGGTATCAAGCAGTTCTACATTGCTGTTGAGAAGGAGGAGTGGAAGCTTGACACCCTCTCTGACTTGTACGAGACTGTCACCATTACCCAGGCCGTCATCTTCTGCAACACGCGCAGAAAGGTTGACTGGCTCACCGACAAGCTCACTGCCCGTGACTTCACCGTCTCGGCCATGCACGGTGACATGGACCAGGCTCAGCGTGACCTGATCATGAAGGAGTTCCGCTCTGGCTCTTCCCGTGTCCTGATCGCCACTGACCTTCTGGCCCGTGGTATCGATGTCCAGCAGGTTTCCCTGGTTATCAACTACGATCTTCCCGCCAACCGCGAGAACTACATCCACCGCATCGGCCGTGGTGGTCGTTTCGGTCGTAAGGGTGTCTCCATCAACTTCGTCACCGCTGAGGACGTCCGTATGATGCGTGAGATTGAGCAGTTCTACAGCACTCAGATCGAGGAGATGCCCATGAACGTCGCTGACCTCATTTAAGCACCTCGGTCGCGCTTCAAGCTCCCTTTCTGCAGAAACCCCCCCTTGACTGATAGACACAATGGGCGCAGAGTAGGGGGCCTACAATAAACCCGCCTTGTTTTTCTCCTCCTCTGGGGCCGCATTACTCTTTTTTTTGTCCTATTTCTCCTTTTCTCCCTTCTCAACTTGAAATCTCCCGCGGCCCCATTTTACGAAACCACAACGTCTTTACCTTATGAACGCGCGGCGATTTTAGTACTTGTCCTACCAATCAAAATTACCACCCCTTTTTGCATGCGGAGGACAGAAATGAAATAGAAGGGAAGAATGAGCACTGGCAATGGAAGATATTGGGCTTCGTTGGGGATGAAAATGAAGTTTGTAAAGCAAGGTCTCTGGCAGCTTCCTTGTTGGCACCTCAATCAGTTGAGAGGTGTGGGAAGACTACCAAAAAGTTAATTGCAATGGCTGATTTCTTTTGTCTTTGAAAATACTCTTTTAAAACAGTTTTGTCCTCTTGCTCAGTGACTGTCTCGGTGAGATGAAGGTAAAAAGTTGTAAATGTGCAGTGCCTTTGCCTAGTCCAGGTGACATGGCAGCACAGTTGACAGACATTGAGAGCATAATTTCGCAATTATGTAGTCACCATGATGTATTCACAATGATGTGTATTAAATGTACATGAGAGTACCGTGTTATGTAAGACGAGCAAGGAGAGACTAGAAATAGAAAGGAGACGTCATCAGGCACCCGAGCTCTGTCAACAGCCAAGTCGTTGCGTATCCATCAAAGTCATCTGCTACCCAGGTTCGAGAAACAATTTACAAAAGAGAAGAGAGAATAGAAAGCATGCAAAATTGCCCTGCTTGCAACAAGTAACGCCGTACATGGTATAAAGGCCCGAACACTAAAGTCTGACTGTTCCTGCAGTTTTGTCTGGCTCCCAAAAGCTTCAAATTTGCTTCACTTTTTGCACCACCCTTTCAGATGTCAGCTTAGACTGAGCGAAAGTTTGACTGGTCAGCGTGCGGGCTCTTGACAGCCTGATCAGCATAGGCTCCCGGGATGGGAACAGCATCGTAGACGGGCTCGTGCGCCGCTTGAGGAGCATGCTGCTGCTGCTGCTGCTGCTGCTGCTGCTGCTGCTGCTGCTGCTGTGCGGGTACGGCAAACTCTGGCGCAGAGGGTGTGGCCGGCGCCGTGGACGTTGGCGTGAAGGCGCCTTGACCGAGCTTGGGGGTGGCCGAGGGCGCCTTGGCGGGTGGGCGCTGCAGCTTGAAGCCGGGAGAAGGGCTGTTGAAGTGGGAATCAGGGACGACGACGTTGTTGCCGCCGGGAGTGAAGGGGCTGGTCTCGGGGACGGGACCCATGTTCTGGTAGGCGGCGGGCGGGTGGCGCGGCGACATGGCGTAGCTGCTGAGGGCGGGCGACTTGGGACCGCCGGCAGCGAATCCGGGCGTGTTGGGGGCGGACATGGAGCGCAGCTGGGCGAGATAGAGGTCGGAGCGGGCGCGGTCGCGCATGTCCATGGACTTTGTGAGGCGGCGCTTGGTGTAGTAGCGGTAAAAGACGACCGAGTAGAGGGTGATGCAAATGACCTCGACGACAATCTCGATAATCATGCAGATGAGGCTCCAGTTTTGCAGGCGGCAGACGAGGGCATAGTCGACCTTTTCGTGAAAGACGTGGGCGCGCTGGTTGTCGACGCAGGACCACCCCCACATGTCCTTGTTGCCCGAGGTGTTTCTCGAGTTTTGGAAGAGGGCGGCGGTGACGACCCAGAGGACGAGGCTGATGATGAACCAGCCAATGGCGAACATGGTGTAGTAGGTGCCGACGCGCTCGGCGCGGCGGTGGCCGCCGCGGCAGTAGGCGAGGAAGACGAGGACGCAGGCGCCGAGGGAGACGCACGACATGGCGAGGACGAGCTTCTGCGGCCAGGACTTTGTGTTTTGCGCCCACGAGGGCATCTTGCTCTGGCTGGGCAGGTTCTTGGTGCTGTTGAAGATGGCAAACGAGGACGAGATCATGGCGAGGATGATGAGGGAGCAGGAAAAGTTGACGCCGCGGAGGGCAAACTTGGCCATGCGGACGCGGGTTTTGATTTTCTACATTTGGGGGGAACCCGGATGATTAGCACGAATACGACATGTGTGTGTGTGAGAGAGAGCTTTGAGCGGCAAAATGGTGCGTGCAGTGGCCGTATTTTTTTACTTACAAGATCGCGGGCCTGCTCGACTTCGGTCGACGCCTCGCGCTTCTCCAGCATGTCCTCCTCGCGAAAGGTTGGGCTGAGGGGGTTGTCGAGTTTGCGGGCGGGCGTACCGGGCGCCTTCATGGCGCTCTTGAGGGGCGATTTGGGTGGCATGGACGAGGAGGCCTCGTCGTCGGCGGCACCGGGGCCGCTGTTGATGTAGCCAAAGCCGACGGCCTGGATCTGGTCGTGGTCCTTTTCCGGATCGGCAAAGGGTGAGCGGCCAGAAACGACGCCGGCGTCGCGACGGTCATCTTCGACGGGCGAGTGCACCGTGGTGGACTCGACGAAGCGCGGCGTGCGCGGCGGCTTGAGGGAGGACGACTCTGAATCTGTCGAGCCGTCCGTGAGAGACCGGGCCGGCGGCGTGAGGTTGAGCGCAGAAGGCCGCCTCTTGTCGTCGGTGCCACCTAGAAAAATGGGAGGTTAGAAAATGACAATTAAAGTAACGAAAGAGGGGAAGAGGTCATAGTTATCGACTACTCACCAATCATTGTGAAGTTGTGTGATTTTTTGTGTCGGTGACTTTTTCTGATTTGTTGGGTTGATTGGAAGTGCTCCAGAGGATTCCGTCTAAGTGGCAAGCAGCAGCCAGAGAGGGAAGATGGAGAAACCAGGCGTAGGACACAGTCCTTGATGCTTCTGGTTGTACTATGGCAATGAGACGGTAAGAAGAAAGTAAGAATTCTCTGCCAAAACAAAAAATCGATTCGAGACAAAGAATGAAGAAGAGATGCAAAAGAATCGAGGCACGAGAGATGTACGGATGAGACCAGCTAATCGAGGAGGAGAGAAAGCCGGGACGAGGTGGGAGGGGGTGGGCGAGTGGGAGCAGAGGCAGTTTTGAGGTTTTTGGCGGCGGCAAAAAGGGCTTCTGGCTGTGTGACGGGACATCTCACTTGCAGCAATCGGTTAGTGGAGATTCTGTCCCTCTCTCTTACTAGGTATTTACTCCTCAACTCGCAGAATAAAAAAAAAAGCCCGTGGGATATTGGAGGTGGTGCAGCGCACGCTGATAGGACTGCATTTAGGCGCCCAGGTCGGGGGATGGAGGAGGGGATGGGGGGGGGGACGGTGGCCACCAACCTGGGGTCTGACCTGTAAGAGGCGGCGATTTTTGGGGGCGGCGGCTACAAGATGCAGTACGAAAATGCCGTGCAGTCGTTTTTTTTTTCTCCCTTGAATTTTTGTCTTTCTTGTAATCTTGATTATTTATTTTATCATTTATTTTGTCTTGCAAGACCTCGACGTGGTCCGGTGCAGCCATCACATATCCGAGCTCTGACGGCTTACACGAGAGAGGCTGGTTGGCTTAGCCTCAGCCTCGTCGTGCGCAAGGAACCAGTAGGAGCAGCAAGGTCTTTTTTTTTCCAACACTATGGGGAATGGCTGGATTTTGTGACAAGATGGTGCATGGTGCATGAAGAAGAGGGGAAAGAAGAAGAAGCAAAAACGCCTCACTGAGTAACGGAGGTAAGGGCGAACGAAGCATGGTGGTATTGGTGATAGGTGGTAGGCTGGTAGCACTACCACCACTACCACTACCAACCGCTGCTCGTTGCCGTTCTAACCAGGCTTTCTACGGATTATCTGGTAGGAGGGGGGAAGGGGGCGTGCAATGTTGTGGTTGGGGCAAGTTCTGCCGATTGTTTCTTCTCTGCTGATGTGATAATTCGATAGAAACGAACGGGGACAGGGGGATAGCAAAAGCCGGGCGCGTAAACAGTAATAATGTGACACTGGTGGCTGGAGCCAAGGTTGAATTTTGCTGCAGGCTGGCCGATAACTTATGGCTGGGGAAAGAAACGAGAGAGTTGTTTGGGTTGTCTGCATACAGACATGCATGGCCCTGAACCCTTGCCAACTTAGCAAGGTTCGTTTTGTATATTCGGTGTGAGTGGCTCTCTCTCTACAAGCGAAGAGGGGATCCTTTTTTTTTGTCCCCTTCAATTGTTACTAGTACGACTAGAAGCAGGCTTGCAACGCTCGTCAAGTCGCCCCAACTTGCACTTGTTTGAAAAAGCTGCATATTCATCAAAAGTCATCACCAACCCCATCCGTCATTGGCCCAAAGCCCCGCCGTTTGGCGTACAATTGACCGCCGGCACCCAGCCAATCGCAGGGCAGGACCGGGGAGGGGGGTGGCCCGGCCACCCACACCGCAGCGGCCGGCCAGCGGAGACCAGGGGCCACCCATCGCCGGCGGCTACAGCGGCCCTGCCATTCGTCGTCTACGGAGTACCGAGGGTGGCCCTCCCCTCCCCCCTCTGTGATGAGAAACAAGTTGTTTGCAATGCAAAGTTGTGCTGATCGCTGCCCATTTCTCTCTCTCTTCCGCTCTCGCGCAGTAGCTGCAAACGCACGGCTTTTCTTCTTCGTTTTTTTTTTTTTTCGGACGCAACTTGTTCCGTGGAATAGGCCCGAGTCAAAAGAAATCACGCCGTTTGCAAAAGCGCGGGTGATAGTGATAAGACGGCCAGTCATGGTTTTCTGATATAGCAGTAAGCTCCGACCAGAAAACCCTTTGCTGGTTTCATGCCAAACATTGCTTGGCCGATTGAAAGCATTGTCCATTGTGCCGAGAGATGGATGGCCCGGGTGTATCACGTAGATGCAACTAATACTTTTTGTCCTTTCCGATCAAATCTTCATTGGCAGCCGTTTAAAACACGCACGCCATCTACGATACATATGATGCTGCCGCGAGCCGCAAACCGCACCCTGGTCACGGCTCGCACAGACAATAAAGGTGCGACAGCAAACACATAGATTAACCGGATAGTATAGCATTTCTCACAAGCAAACTCCTCTATAGTCCTTTGTTCTTTCTTTTTTTCTTCTTGTTTCCTTCTCTTCAATACGGATACAGCCCAACATTTTAGTCTTGTCCCACAACCAACATCTCAGATAACCCAAGATTTGCTCCATACGGCCCGTCTCACACACCCCACACCAGTCAACTTCATGGACCAGACCGGTGTGTTGTCTCGCCCATCAACACACACCCCTGTGCCAAAGCTTTCAACCTCCTCTTTATTCTTTCACCTTTGTTCCTTTTTTTCTTCAACTGACAGCAAGATGATTACCTCTTCTTGTTCTTGCGCTTGCTCGGCTTGCCGGCCTGCTGCGCGCCGCTCGTCTTGGCCTTGCTCAGCGACTCGGTGCTCTTGCTAATCACCTCAAAGTCCTCGCCCGCAGAGTCGGTGCTGGTCGGCGTGATTTGCGCCTCGTCCGAATCGTCGTCTGCAACCTCGTCCGCCTCCAACTCGGCATCCGACTTGCTGCCAAAAAGGCGGCCGACGGAAGCCTTGAACAGGAAAAGAGGGACCTGGACGACGGCCGTGTCCTTGTACGTGGGCGCAGCAAGCTCCTCGGGCTATTCATATTGGTTAGTACATTTATTTTCAACCCGTCGTTTATTACGTGCACATGTTTTACTCACGTCAAGGAGATACTCGTGGACATTGCCCTCCTCATCCTGCTCCTCGAGGAACACATGGCCCATGGAGTCGACAACGAGCACCTTGCCATTCTCAGCAACGACTCGCTTCTTGACGCCCGTGGGCGCCACAGAAGCATCGCGCGACGAAGGCTTCGAGGCGGTGCGCTTGGCAGACTTCTTCTTGGACGAGCGGCCGTCCTCCTTGCGCGTCTCCTTATCCATCATGCGACGCTCCTTGCGGTTGCGCGGCTGCGGCATGGCCGCGTCCTCCTCCTCGGCGGGCGCGTCGGCAGGGGACGGTGCCGCAGCGGGCTCCGTGTTGAGGCCGGGAATGTTGCCGCCCCAGGCCGTGTTGCGCGCAAACTTGACGTAGCGGCCCACAAACTCCTTTTGCCGCTTCCAGTTCATGTAGAGGATCAGGTAGTGCACCGCGCCGCCGGCAAACATGAGCAGGCCGACAATGACGGTGCCCAGGCCGGGCCGGTAGCGGTTGTAGTAGTAGTCGGTGCCCTTCCACAGAGGGAACCCGTTGGCCAGGAAGTGGTCGTAGCGGTCGCGCGACGAGCCCTTGAGGATGCCCACAATCAACGACAGGCGCGCCTGGCGGTCCGACGCCTTCTTCACGGCCGCATTGATCTCCGACGACGAGGGCATCTTGCCCGACTTGCTGCCGTCCTTGGCCTTGCGCGCCCGCAACTGCTGCCGCACCTTGTCAGGATGGAGCTCGCGCGTCTTCTTGCGGTACGCCTGCGTAATGGTGTCCTGCGAGGCATGCTTCGGGATGTTCAAAATGTCGTAGAACGTGGCCTCGGGGTCAGCCTCGTGCGCCGAGATTTCGTCGCGGATGCGAAAGATTTCACGATCTTGTAAATCATTCCGTCAGCAATGTTGGATTTTCCAAGTCACCATGGCTTTCCAGCAAGTCTCAAAACAGAATCCTGAAAAAAAGAAGGCACACGTGGCCGCTTCTCTATCCAAGGGTCGAAGGGGGAGGAAGCTCGGCTCACCTTCCTTGCTCCATGCCGCCGTCAGTGGCGTCAGGAGAGCCAGAATGCCTACCGACAGGGTCGAAAACTTCATGATTGCCCAGTTGGCGAATCGCGCCAGGCTAACAGATGGTAGTTGGGAAATTCCGTCGTCGCTGGATCTTTTGCAAGGGAGAAAACGAGACCTGTCCAGTGGATTAATTTTATCTAGTGGTGCCTTGCTAGCTCGGCATTCAAGCAAATCGGCCAGCTTGCGCTTTGGTGACCCCTTGTCGCAGGAACCAATAAAGTGGGGTTACGAGTCGTGGATGGGGTTGATGGGGTCATGGAAAAAAAAAGCCTGAGCTACACTGTCTGAATGTGCAACTTTAAACTGCTTCCAAGAGGCTACCACATCTTGCGTGTTATAGGGCAATCCCTTCGCTTTCTGGATATCTGGAAAAGAATTTCTATCCAGAAAGCATCAATTGCAGCATGTCGCCATGAGTGCAACCGACCAGCCTGGCCTCGAGGCCCAGGACGATGAGGACTACTATATGAACATGACGTTCGACAACCCCCAGCCTCCCAAGGAAACGTCCATACAGCGCACACAACGCCTGAAAAAGGAGTCGCGCGCCCGCGGCGTCATCAAGTCCAAGGCGCAGATTGCCCAGGAAGAGGCGGACGCGCGTGAAAAGGCGCTGGCCAAGTCCATGCTCGACGATCCCCGCGCCAAGAAGAGCAAAGGCCTCGCCATGATGGCCAAGATGGGCTTCACCGGCGGCGGCCTTGGCAAGAAGACGGCCGACGGCCTACCCCAAGGCCGCACGGAGCCCATCCACCTCAGCCTCAAGGACGACCGAGGCGGCGTCGGCATGGACGCCGAGAAGAAGCGTCGCTTTCGCGAGGCCGCCGAGGAGCAAGGGATCGCGCCCGACGCCAAGGCGCCCAGGCTGGACCCGGACGAGTACCGCGAGCGCGTTCGAAAGGAGCGCGAGGACGCGAAGCTGGAGAAGCAATTCTTTGCGGCGCAGCGCATGGCCGAGCGCATGGCTGAGGAAGAGGTCGGCGCAAAAGACGATGGCAGCGATGATTCCACCGAGCAAGATGACAAAAGAGGCAAAAAGACACACGTGTCGGCGAAACCGCTCAAGTCGGTGCCGATTCTCTACCGAGGACTCGTGCGCCACCGCGAGGAAAAGGAGCGCGATCGCCGCATGCGCCACGACCTGGAGCAGTCGCTCTCTCGCTTGCCCATGTATGAAGAAGAGGACGACGACCCTGATTACAAGACGGCGCTCGGAAAGCCCGGTGCAATCTACACAGTAGCCGAGGATCTCGACGAGGAAGACGCGGAGCTGGACCAGTTTAATGCCCTAGATGTGCGGGAGCGGTTGGAACGCCTGCTGAAGCACCTGCGGGAGCAGCATAGATATTGTTTCTGGTGCAAAATGGTATATCCAGATGCGGAGATGGATGGGTGCCCAGGTCTCACGGAGGAGGATCATGATTAACATGGCAATAAAAATAAATGTCAATGCTTGAAAGCATGAGGATGCATTGCCAATATGTAATCTATGTATTTTACCCGTCCAATATCCATGTTCGTATATGTTGTGATCGAATAAACTCGCCGATGGCTAATAGATTGGCTACCGTGTCGCCAATACCATGATAAAAAGATTCTACATTTCAGTCGCCGCGTGTCCAAGTCCGCACCGTGGATGGGTATAGTTATAATCGTAGCCCGACAGGATGCCGGCAAAGTGGCTCAGCGCGCCCAAAACTACAAAGCAATGAAAGATTTGATGGGAGCCCCCCCAAATGTCGAATCTTCCCGGCAGCCAGCATTCGGGAAATCGTGACTTGTTTGTTGATTTAATAGGAGGGGTCAAGACTGACAAAATCCAAGTTTTGACACGAAAAGAGAGAGAACTCACAACAAGAAAAGCAACGCCGATGAGCATGAAGACGGCTTCGAGATAATAATAGTTGAGGCCAGACTGTTTTTGAAGCTGGTCATATGGAAAGAGAAGTATGGCATGAAAGATGGGAATAAAGGCGGAAAAGCTCAGAGCAAGAAATGGTAGCAGTCGCGATGTGAGCCAAGTTTTGGATTCGTTTTTGCCGTACAAGGATAGGTAGGAATTGAAAGCACCCAGGACGAGAATCTTTTTTGTCCGTTCAAAAGTTTTCAGATGTTATTTATTTAGTAAAAAAAAAAATGCTTTGATTTCTGTATTGTTCGCTTCAAGGGACTGGCTGCAAAACTTACTGCACCAAGATAGCCGCGCAGCAGCCACGGCTCGCAGTAAAAGCCCATGTACAGGCCCGGCACAAACGAGGCCATGATGAGGAGAGAGATGCCGACATAGTCGATGCGGATCCAGAGGTCGGCCAGCTCGCGCGAGTGGCAGAGCAGGGTGTGGTAGGCGGCGGACAGGCCGAAGCAGGCGGCGCAGGCGAGGAGGTGGACGTGGAGGACGGCGCGGTCGGCGAGGGCGGCGGCGGGATAGCGGGCGGCGAGGTGGCGGGCGAGGGCGGCGTTGCCGAGGGTGGCGACGACGATGCCGGGGATGAGGTGGGTGTAGATGTTGCCGCTCTGGTTGTGCAGGTAGGTCCAGCTGCGGAAGCAGGGCGCGGCCGCGGCGAAGACGGGCCGGTAGCCGGTCCGGATGTGCGGGTTCTCGCCGTACCATGCCGGCACGCTTTCAATCGTCAGCAGCAGCATGCTGCTGGCGGTAGTGGTGGCGGCCGCCGCCACGCCCGTGGAGGATGTCGAGGTGCCGGTTGCGCGGCCGGCCGGGGAGAGATGCCGCGAGGTGAGCGAGGGCTTGGCGGGCGGGTGGTGCTCGGCGTCGGCCGCGGGACGGGCGTCTCGGCGGGTGGTCGTTTTACCGCGATACATGACGCAAAAGGAGATGAGTTACGACAGATTGGTGTATGCCAAGGGATAATGGCGAGGAGGGGCGTATCGGCAAAATTTAATAGCATCAGCCCAGCAGAAGCAGTCGACGCTCGGCTTTGTACGTCGTCCAATACGCAAGAGGTCGGTGGCTGACAACCAGCGACAAGGCATGCGAGCAGGATAGTAGAACAAGGTCATTATTTTGGAGTTGCCATGATGCAAAAAGTATATTGACGGTAGAGCGGACTGCTACGGGTGCTAGGGCGATTGAAGGACAGGAATGGTAAGGGAGCCTGGGTGCGTGAGGTCATTTGAGGCGCGTGATTGGCTGATAGCTGTTGGTGGTCACTTGTCTATGTCTCGAGCTACCCGAGAGAGCAATCGATGAGAGCAATGTGTGAGGGTATGTTGAGGGTGTTTTCTGCTGACAAAACAACATGAGATGGGTCACTTGATGTGTCAGACTGCAAGCACAGAGTCATTTCGCCCTTGATTCGAGTAAAGGTGGCGAGGCTGAGTATGTTGTGAATGTACATGACAGGTGCATCGAGAGCAAGACCAGCATCAGCACCAACAGTCAAGACATGAGGAAAGCTAGACGAATCTCCAATCAACTCTTTCCCTTTTCTTTTCTGTCTTTTTTTTCTCTTTCTCTTTCTCTCTCTCTCTTTTTTCCTTTTTTTTTTCATATCTCATTCATCGATTGAATTGACAGACACACAGACATGTTTCTATCCCGCTTGCCCGCCAAGCCACCAGCATTATGCACCAGAAACCGCCAAGACCCAAGAGCAGGCAAGAATAACTCAAAGCTGCAAGCCACAAGATGTGGGGAAGCAAGGAACAAAAGTCAATCTGTCGACGACCCGACCAGTATGAAACAGAAGAACGGTGAAGCAGAGGACAAGATTCACGAGTTTAGTTTTGGAGCGATTTGGAATAAATGTATCGAGGAGATGCAGCACAATGTAGCTTCGTATAGAGTTTGTGCGGGCAGGGTACATTTGTGGGATTTCGGACAAGCTGGCTGACCGTACTGTATTATGTGGCTGTTTAAGCTGTTGAGTGGAGCCTTGATAATGAGGAAACAAAACGGCAAATGGATGATTTGGAATATATTGCTTTTATTTATGGATCGCCGACTTTTTTTGTTCTGTAGGGCGAAAAACTTGTCTATTGCCTTTGCAGTTATTATCGACGGGAGCTGCAGATGAATGGACCAGAATAATAAAACAAACAGATACCTACGTATAGTGGTTGATATAGGTAGCTCCTTCCCGTTGAAGCGGCTCGCGGCGTGGTGCATAGAGTGGACAGTGGACGCAGCACCCCAAGAAAAAAAAAAAAAAACAGCAACAACGGACTAGACTAGGCCCGAGATTGTGTCTCCAGCGCCTTTCTTTACCCGCTGACGTAGTTTTATCTTGCGACCCCCAACGACGTGTGCACATCTCAAATTCTTCCCCTACTATTACTCTTCCCCCCCCTCAATTCGTCCCCAGGGGGCTTTTTTTCTTTGTTTTAGGACCACCAAACTACGACCTTGTTTGAGCTAGCGAAACATATCTGCATCGGTCGCCACTTTGATCGCTCTCTCGCTGGACAAGGCCTGCCTGGGTTGCGTTTCCCTGCCTGCGCGTTTCTTGCTGCGCAAACTTGTTCGTGTGTCCCTACCACTTTCGCAAGGAAAAAAAAAGAAAAGAAATGGCGGACAAGGACATTGTCGAGCGCCCATCTTTTCTCTCTTACCTCAGACGAGACAAGGAAAAGTCAAAGGATAAGAAATCCAGCAGCTCCAAAACAAAGTCCCCATGTGAGTTCAAACACCGCCTATCCGCCTATCCGCCTATCCGCCACCCCCGGCCCTTGTTCATGAACAAACTACTCCGTATGCCGACATGATTCGCACCCACCCCCCGTTTGCAACTATTTGTCTGAGGGCTATCTTTTTTTTTTTTTTTTTTTTTTCCGTTTATCCCCGGCATCGAAGAAACACAAATATTTCTTCTTGAATCCCGCCTCCTGCAAAATAAGTCACGAGCACGCAAAACGCTCCATCACTTGGCAGGATATGATTTGTCATTTCCCCTTTGGGACGGCTCTCGCCAGATCCCGAACTGGCCGGTTTGTCAAAACATGCCGCCCGCCACCTTTTTTGCCATGTTGGAGGGGTTTATAATTACATATTACCCCATACCGGAGCCAGTCGATGTGCAGCCACCGTTGTTTTGGAGTTTTGCACTCTCATCTCTGGCCCTGGCGGCCGAGCTCAACACCTCCACCATCACCACTTCTTTGTCCTCATAACCCTCTACCACCCATCACTTACACCACTACCTTCATATTTTTCTTTCCCCTCTTCCTACTTTTCCTTCACAATATACCCCCCTTCTTCATAATGCCATATATAATATCCAGCGCCGCGGCTGTTCGAGACACTGCCAGAATGAAGCGCTTCAAAAGAGACAAGTACCTAACCAAGTCGTTATTAGCCGGCGGCGCCGCGGCGGGCGAGACCAGCAGCCCCGACGACAACCAAGATGCCCTGAATAAGAACCAGATACGCCGGGCTCAGGTCCGCCGGGCCCAGATTCAGCACCGCCAGCGCAAGGCAAACTACGTCAAGCAGCTGGAAATGGACATTTCCCAGCTCCGCGAGCTCATCACCCAGGCCCAGCACGACACCACCGCCCTCAGGCGCGAAAACGACGACATTGTCGCCATCCTCGGCCAAAACGGCATCCCAAGCCCCCCGGGTCTCTCCTACGGCACGGCATCGCCGGGCGCAGTTACCGTGTTGTCGCCCGACGCGCCGCCGTTGCAGCAGCAGCAGCTTAACACGCCCGCGTATCCCCTCATCAACGACAGCAGCACCACCGAGCTGCTTCTTCCCGGCAGCCTGGCCATGGACGAAGAGCTCATTGTCACGCTGAGCTCAAACAAGCTCATGGGCACACCGGCGTTTAGCGTCAACCCCAGCTCCGCCAGCAGCAGCAGCAGCTTCTACGACGAGCCCGTTTCGACAAACTGGTCACAAGGCCAGATTCAACTCTCACCCACCCAAGAGCTCACCGTCATCAACTTTATCCTCGCGTAAGTTTTTAATCAGCTCTTCTACACTTTAGAAGGAACACACGCGTCTGACCTTTTTTATCTAAGCTTGGAACACGTCTGCTGGGACCATTTCTGGCTCGGCGACTGCCACAACCACAGCGCCCAGACGGAAGAGGTCAAGGGCCACACGCTCATGGCCTCGTCCTACCTCATGGCCTCGGCCCCCGAGTCCGTCTACGACGAGCGCACCGCCCTCACCAGCCGCTTCCGCAGCTCGCCGGCCCTGCAGTGGCCCGCCCCCGCCGTCACCCTCGACTCGCTCCACGGCCTCGCCCAGTCCCTCAACCCGGGCGGCGTCGACGAGGTCGCCCCCGTCCAGGCCTGGTTCGAGCTTGCCGTCCGCTACCCCATTGACGTGCTGCTGCGGCCCGCCATCCTCGAAGCCCTCAAGCGCGAGTTTAAAGGCGTCGTCCGCTGCGTCGCGTTTGGCGCCGCCATGGAGCGCGGCGCCTTTGAGAGCATTGTTTTGCGCGTCCTGGGGCCGGGTGTCATTGCTCCTACATTGTTGCCTTAGATGGGTGTTGGAAAAAAAGAAAAGAGAGTGAAAAAAAAAAAAAAAAATTGGGCAAGGCGGAATGTATCTGGGGGCCCTGGTAAAGACTAAACTGTGCTGATGAGCGTTGATGAGCGTTGATGTAGAAAAGCTTGGGGGCGTTGTTGATAATAGTTGTGGGCGTTACTGAGCACGGCGCTACGGGAGCAAAATGTTTGCTAATCCATTTCGAAATTTTGTTCGACAGCAAAAGAATAGAGACCAACGAATATACATGTATATACAATAAAAGAAAGAAACTCGGCATCACTGCGTCTACGTGAAAAAAATCATCCCACCCCACCCCCTCCAAACTCCCAAACCTAGCTTCAATCGCCCCCCATTGCTCACAGAGCCTTGACCATGGTCGTATCGTCAAAGAGATCTCGCAGCAGCCCCTGCACGCAGTCCGACACGTCCGGTGCGCCCATGGCATACGTCGACTCAAACGCAAAGATGCTCAGCTGTCCGAAAAACGGACGCAGCACCTTGGCCACGAGCTCGTCGCGACGCTCGAGGCCCACGTCGTCTGCGATGCCGCCGGGTCCAATCAGCACGTGCCTGCGGTTGCGCTGCGCGGCCGGCACCAAGCCAGCGTAGCCGCTGCCTGCACCGCTGTCATCCTGGTGCGTGGTGGTGATGGTGGTGGCTGCCGCGCTGCCGAGGTCCTCGGCGAGCTCATCGGCGAGGGCAATGGGGCGCGACGAGGAGGAGCGGTAGACGGCGTCGATACTGTCGGTGATGAAGAGCCACTCGTGGAGCTGAAAGTCATCGGGCGCGACGCACACGAGCAGGTCCAGCAGCTTGCAGGCCTGAAGGACGCCGGCGTTTGTGTGCGTTTCGGCGGCGGCGCTGTCGTCGGGCGCGACAACGGATGAGAGCGCGGCGTGCAGCTCGGCGTTGACGACGGGCCACAGCATGGCGAGGTGTAGAGGGTCGGTGCGCAAAACGAGCGCGCGCATCACCATGTAGACGTCGGCGCGCGTAGTTGACGACGGCGACGATGTGCTGGTCGCGGCGAGCAGCTCCACGAGCTTGTCGACGATGACGGGGAGGTCCGCGACGACGGCGTCATCGGCGCCGGCGAGGATGAGCGTCGCCACGCGTCGCAGGTTGAGCTGCGTCTTGCGGTCGGCCTCGAGCCGGGCCGACGTGGCCCCGACGCCAAACACGATGCCGGCCGTTGTCGGCGCCGCGACGCGGCTCACAATCTCGGGCAGCTTGTCCTTGTCGGCGACAGCCCACTGGCGGAGCAGCGGCAACCAGTCGTCCATCACGAGCGCCAGGTCCATGCTGAAGAAGCGGCCGTCGTTGAAGGCGTCCCCGACATCCTTCTTCCACGACTTGTGGTTGTTGGGCAGCCGCGACAGCTCGTGCAGCAGACGCACCGTGTTGTGAGTGACCGAGTCCGGGAAGGTCTTGGTGCGCAGCGTAGGGCCGATGACGTTGGTGGAAATGGTGCCGGCCGCAGACAGCACCCGGTCGGGCTCGAGCAGAACCTTGGAGAGCTTAGGCACAACCGATGCTAGGATGCCAACCACGTCGCGAGTCTCTGTGGTATCCCCTGGTCTGGATTTCTCCGTAGTCGCATTTGACGAGGCCGGCTCGGCAAAGGTCATGGGCCGTGTGGTAAATAGGCCAGCTAAGAGTCGAGTGAACAGATCGCCGAGCTCTCGTCGCATCTTGCGTTGCTCGCCAAAGTTTGTATTGTCAACCTTTTCCCCCAGGATGGCTGCAAACTCCAGCAGACTTGGAAGTGTTTGCCGGTGGGGAAAGGGGTTGGCGAGAATGTCCCTGAGGAAGACGATGCAGTCTTGCCATATCTCGTCCATAGCATCGTCGTCAAGAGATTGTGTGTACCTGACCAAGAACAAGCCCAAGTCTGTGTCCTCTAGTGATATAGTCAATGTCGACGTACGAGAAGGATCCAAAGCGCCGGGGTTTGTCCGGCTGTAGATAGAGTTGAATATAGAGGGCACTGTTTGTCGTGGACGGGAAGCCTCGAGTGCCGCCAGGAATTTGAAGACTTCAGACTTCTGAGCCTCGGAGGTGCCTTGCTTCCAAATATCGACAATGGTCTCCAAGCACTCTAGTGTCTCAGCGGTGAAGAGCTGCTCCAAGAGTCTCCTGGCACGATTTCTCATTCGTAGGGAGGTATACATAAACGACGCAGCCGCGGAGGTGTCGTTGGCGGCGGCATCATCACCTTGGCCCCAGGACCAAATCTTGTAGCAAATACGGACCGCATCCTGAAAGGCAAGATGAACAGTGAGGCGGTCGTTTGCAGTCGCACTGCGGCCCTGCGGCGCGTCCGACTGGAAGACACCAGAAACCATGCTGCCGAATAGCGACTGTGGCTGGTCGGGACTTTTCAGAGCCTGAGCACGCGCCTCGTCTGCCTGCAGCTGGTCATGCGCGCGAGCAAGTACCTGCTCCAGGCCGTTTAGGAGGTATATCAGTGTGGTTTCCGGTGCAGCGACCTGCGCACCAGGGCTGCTATTCTCTGGACAAAATGTGGCTCTCAGATTTGCAAACGTAGTGCCAATCTGCTTGCAGAGAGTCTCGACCAGCGGGATAACAATCTGGAAGACAGATCCGCCATAAAGCGGGAGGCAGCCGCCCAAGAAATTCATCCAGCTGTCCAGAACGAGTTGACTGTTTTGAGCACCGAGCCCAGCAAGAAGACATTTCAGAAGCTGCGGAGGTAGACCATGTTGGGGCAGTTGACCATCTACATTTGATATCGACGGCCTTCCAGGTCGTGTAAGATCTGTCGTTGATGAATGATATCTTTCAGATGTCGCGGAGAGGGGGCGTTCTGTTGCCGGCGGCTCTTGAAGCTTCAGAGCCGCAAAAATGGAATCTAAAAGAAGCACCTGGATGTAAGGGTCTGAACTAGTAATCGAGGTTCCGAGTCTGTCGATGAGAATCGTCTCGACATGGAAGTGAGACAGGCGGCTGGATTGAGGTGCAATAAGAAACTGATGAATAATCATCAATGCGTATCTTTGCAGTTGGCGGGTTCTGTCAATGAGGTTCTTGTCTTCTGTCTCGGATTCCCCGGCAACGCATTGGACCAATAATCTAAGGAGAAGCTCCTGAAGCGTCATTTCGTTCCCTTCACCACCGGCTGTGATGCATTAGCCGAATGTTGGACAGTATAGAACCAAGACACCTACTACTGATATGCAAACTTTCGTCCACCAGGGATACATGTCTTGTTCCCATAATAACCCAAGGTACTTCGCTCATGCAGCCTAGAACATTGTGCATGGTTCGTAGGTAATACAGGCAAAGATCTAGATCGTCATTTTCCGAGAACTGCCGCGATGTTGCATCCAGCTCGTCGGTGGAAACAGAATCTCTGACGCCTCTCAGAAAAGGAAGTGCTGAGATCTTGGATGCAAATAACAGGAACAGCCTTTGCAGGTAAGCATACTATTTTGAAACGAGCGGGCTGCACATACCTGTCAATGCCAACCATTGTGTTCAGCCATGATTTGACATTCATATACAAATGTGTCCTTTCATCCATCAAAGCATCAAGGACGAGGAACAGGGGCTGCGTAAGCATGACTTCGTAAAAGTCTGCACCTGCTACCCTCGAGCGAGGCTCAATCAGAGATGTCGTTCTTGACCCACGGCGTTCTCCCTGGTTATCCTGCAAGGTGTGCGACCAAAGGACACCGAACGTGCGGCCCGTATCTGCATTATCCCAGCTTTTCTTCTCAACTATCAAAGTGGACAAGGCTGCTTCAATGTCGCGACGCTCCAGCGTGAGAGCCGTCTGCAGCTGCCAAAGACAGCGGACAGTCTCAACATGATACTTGGGCTCGGATACGGATAAGTATGACCAGGCATGACGAACCAGAGGTAGTACTAGCTCCGACAATTGTGGCAGTGTGATTCTGTCAGTCCAGTACATCTGACTGACCAGGTTCAATATTGAGGAGAATGCAACAAATGGAAGGGCTTTTCCGTCAGACAGCTCTCGGCGCGAAAATGAAAGAAGCCCCGCCTTGTCAAACTCGTATTGTTTAGGTGTCTTGGTGAGCATTTGTAGAAATATTCGAACTCGCAGATTTAGATCTGGCAACAGGCCAGTCTGCGTGTCACAATCGTATACGTTTTTGGCAGCCAGCTGAATCAGAAGGCGCCCAGTCTCAAGACCAGTGAATGGAGCTGGCGAGCTGTCCAAATTTCCCTGCTCGTTGACATAAAAATCGCGTATCTTGTTCAGCAAATCCATGTTGGATAAAGATAAGACCTCGAAATCTGTAGTAGCCTTTGTTGGCGGCGCAAGGAATGTGCGCTCTGGTACAAGATCCAAGAATGACGCCACAATTGATAAGACTTGATTGACCAGTTCCACCGTGAATGAGCCCACCGCACCTTTGTTCTGCCTTTCTTGAAGGTCTTGGAGCATGTAAAGAGCAGCGAGACAGGTAAGAGGTGCGTGTATAGTCACCATTTCTTCTTCTCTGACGTTGAAATTGGCGATGATGAAGCTGATGAGTGATAATTTCTCGCTGCGTTGCTTAGTTCCCAACGTGCCGGGGGCGATAGCTTGCGCGAAAAGGGCAACGATCTCGCTGTAGATGAGACCACTTTCTATGCCGTCGAAGAAGACGCTCGCGCTCCGCAAAACCTCCTTGAACTCTGCTGGAGATGACGTTTTGTTCTTGAAGCGCTGTACACTCTCAACTACTGGGAGAAAAATCTCTGGAACGACCAAACCGCCAATTTCCCATCTGTCCATGAGAGATAGACAGGTGCGATAAGGCCTCGCACGTTCCGGGACGCTGCTTGATTCTGCATCCTTGATCATACCAAGGAGTGCTTTCGTCAGTGCTGCGAGTCCGTGCTCCTCAAAATACTGTGTTCGGGAGGAAAGGTAGGCATGTTGCTGCTCCGTTGGAGCACCGGCTACATCATTGGCATGTTCGTTTTCCGGTACTGCAGGCTCGGGACCCAGGAGCCAAGCCCATAGGCGACGGTTCAGACTCATCTCTCGTCTGATTACTACTCCCACGGCTGACTTGAGCAATAATTCGAGATCAGATGGCTTGACACGAGCCTGTAGGACATTTGAGTTGAGAGGTAGGTGCGACACGAGAAGATCAAGGTATCCGCGCTGAACGAGAACTTGCTCATCTGCGAGACCACTTGCAAAGCATCGGACCAGTAGCCCTGGCTCAGGCGACGTTACCATTGTGGCAAGTTCTTGACCGCCGTTTTCGACCTCTGCGGCTACAGTCGGGGTGCCAAGAGCTGGAAAATATCGAATCAGATAGGCCAAAGCACCAGCGCGCCGACTATGGCTGGTAATGGAAGCCAGGAAAAAGCACTGCCAAAAGAAGTCGTCGCCGACGGAGTGATGGTCTGTCAGCTCTCTGCTGTCAATTGGCCGTATGGCCTCCTTGAAGCCTTCGACCAGCTTTAGGGTGCGATCAAAGTCCTCACTTGTCTCATCTTCCAGGCCGGGGAGAAGTGCTAATATGATTGATCGCATAGCAGGGCGTAGCGACCGCGCGTCCAGCTTGACAAAGTACTTTTCGAGGAGTTCGAGAAAGGGCGAGCGAACGGATAGCGATGCGAATGAGAGCGTCGGCGCAAGGCCAGGAAGGTAGAGTGGGAGATCTCTGGACAGACCATCGGCACCAATTGTGTCGAAAACGTAAGTGTAGACTTCGATGGCCTTTTGATGGACGCCGGAAGGCAACGTGGGGTTCAGGCATTGCGACAAACGTTTCGACAAGAGCGCCTTTGCTGGTATTGTGGTATTCGAGGGTGGCCGCGCTTGCAGGGCCTTTTATACAAGGTCAGTCGTAGTCTTTGTTTTATTTTTCTCATTTTTGTTTTTTTTTTTGGGAGCGTTGTCGCGGCGTACCTTGAGGACCCTGTTCAAGAAAGAAATGTAGTCGGCCCATTCCTCCAGCGCAGTCTCAAAAAGCGACAGGGCCTTTTCCACTCCGGATGCGTATCTTCGGTATGCTTTATCTTTGGCAGGAGCTTCTTCTACTTTGATTGTCAGTCAAGAGTTGCCTGGCAAGTAAGACGAGGCGCATACCCCCGCCAAGCTGGTTGCGCCATTGTCGAGGGATGGGGGAATCTCGCCCCGAGCTCTCGGGGGAGCCCGTCCACGCTCTCGAGCCGGGATCAAGCGCCATAGATACGAAGAGCTTTCCTCATAAGAAAGAAATTCGAGATTGAGATTCGTGAGACTGCGACGAAAGCTCCGATGCTGCGTGCGCTAGCAGGCCGCGTCTTGCTTGGTAGAGGCTACGTTGCAGAGCTGAAGCTTTTGGCATGTGGATACGGTACAGCACTGTTACAGGAACAATCAAACCACCAACCAACTGCAAAACACCAACAGCTTAGTCAAACAAGAGTCTATAACAGCCCGGGTGTACAATAAAACTGCCGAAAAAAGAAACAATTAAAAGATGCCGTTGAGTGGGATAACACTGGCAAAAACTCAATAACAACATGTTCCAAGGAGCAAAAAGGAATGAGGTCATTGTTTAGTGAGCAGGCTGCACAGTGACTTGCCCATGTAAGCCGTGCTCAAAACACCAAGTATCGGACGCACGTTATATCTAATTCGCCGAGACTAGGTTGACAAGCTGGAGAAGAAAACTAATCATTTTCATAACTAGATTAATAAGTAAATTATAAAAAACTTTTCTAAAGATATATAAAGCTCTTTTTTATAATTATTTTGAAAAATATTTAAGGTATTCTATATACTTTTCTTTTATCTTTAATAAAATAAAAATATTATTAATAAAAACCTAAATATAATAAAAATAAGTATAAATTAGGTTATCAATAAAATATTATATATAAGTTAATATATTTCAAAATCTTATTAGTATTATATTAAAAACCTCAAGCTTTTATTTAGAAATAACTATTATATAGTTCTTCTCTCAGATGCGAGACTACTCAAGGTCATCCTCAGCCAAACACTCTGGCTTCATCTCCCTGCTCATCTTGCGAGATGAATCTACACTCTCTTGAACCACAGGCAATTCCTCCTCGGCCTTCGAAACTGGCTCGTCATAAAAGAAAAATGATGCAACCAAACCAATGACAGCCATAGCAATTGTACCATAGTAACCCGCACGATATCCATCTAGGCGAGCGCTTGGCCCGTCTTTGTCCCTTTGATTGGAAGTGACCGAATCCGAAATGACAGTCAAGACAGCGACTCCGAGAACAGCGCCGCCAATATTCAGAAACATCTTGATGCAGTCAGTATAAGTTGGTACACATGCAACGCTAGTTATGCTCACGTTATACACCCCAGAAACGGTACCCTGTTGCTCTGCTTTTGCGGTCGCCACTACTTTGATATTGCCGACAAAATAAATTGTACCAACACCAGCAATATAGAGGATCTCCCCCGGGAGACACAGTCGCCAGTAGTCCCCAATATCAGCCATAGCCGTTAGAAGAGCGAGCCCAGCAGCGCATACAGGCCAACTGATCAAAAGTAGAGTGCGGGCTTGGACGCGCTGAATGACGATCGGAATGACAAAATTGACACACATGGCCGTGATTCCAAGAGGAAGAAAGCGAAGCGCTGTAGATAAAGGAGAGAAGCCAAAGCCTGTTTGAGACATGTCAGATATGGATTGCAAGCTCTCGATTCTCGCTGATACTGACTCTGAAGCTCCAGGGTCAGCAAGTAATTGCTTCCCTGCCATATTGCATACGTCAACGCAGCCATGAGGCAGCCAAGCATCTTGATTCGATCGCTCCACAAGTACCGAGGCAGGATCGGATCCGAGGAGAATTTAAGCTGCACAAAAGCGAAAACCGCGAGAAGGACCACAGACACGACAAGAGTCGCAACCACATCTGCATCACCCCACCCGTGCACATTGCCAGTAGTAAGGCCATACACAAGCAATATCAGAGCAACAATGGACAGACATGTTCCAGCAGGATCCAAACGCGTGGCAAGTTCCGACCATTTCAACCGACCGTTTTTGTCTTTGGGGGCGCTTGTAGGCGCGCCGGGAAGGTTGTCAGTGAAAAGGAAAACAAGTGCTACAATTTCGAGAGAGCCTTCGACAACGAGGGAAAGCCAAAAAATCTGAAAGTCAGTTTGTCAGCTTGCTGCAAGGAGGGAAGTGTGTTCAAACATGGACGCACCCATCTCCATGTTACCAACGAGGTGAAGAGGCCACCAAAAATAGGGCCAAAGCTGCAGGGAGAAACCATCAGTCAGTGGCACAAGAAATCAATGGGCATGACAATACTCACACAAATCCACTAGACCCAGAAGCACCCCATACACCGAATGCGCGAATGCGAGATTTGGCATCTTCAAACGACAGGGAGACCATGGACTGTGCCGCAGGGATGGTAAAGGCTGCAGCGATACCTTGAACTGCTCGGCCTATGACAAGGGCTATCTTATCGTTTACAAGAGCACAAAGAAGAGTCCCCGCGTTGAAAAGAGTCATTCCTGCTATCAAGGTGACTCTCTGTCCAAAGATGTCGCCAACGCGGCCACCGACCATCAAAAACCCACCAAACTACTTTCGTAAGCGATATGATGAGACTGAAACGTTGTAGCGCATAATAACGTACCGTCAGAGCATAGGCTGTCAATATCCACTGCAGCGAGCCCTCATCATACCCCAGCTCTTTTTGAATGGTGGGCAAAGCAATGTTGGCCATGCCTAGATTAGCGATGTCGATGAAGAAGACCAGACATCTGAAGATTGTGAGCCAGAGGGCTATAGAGAGCTACCGCGCCAATTGAGCTTACACAATTGCTAGCGTCGCTACTGCGGCCCCCTTTCCAATTGATTTCGTCGCCATGACGAGTCCTCGGTATGTTGTGGATGTATATTCGTGGAAGAGAGAGCGGCTGCCTGAGACTAGAGCACCCGGCCTGTAACAGGAGAAAACGACGGGCCCAAATACCCAGATTGAGACTATGAAGAGTTTTCAAAAAGCTGATCTGGGATTATTTCAAGCTACAGTAGACAGTCAAGAGAGGGAGTCATGAGCGGCTTATGCCGGCTTTGACTGGCTAGGCAGAACGAGGGTGCGCGTTCATGTAAACGGGCTATCTGCAAGGTGAAAATTGTGAGGCTAATCCCTGCCCGAATATCAGCGCACTATTTTCGTGCCACATTCGAGTGCAACGGTCGAGAAGCGCATCTGCTTGATAGGTACAGTACAATACAGATGTACTTTGCCACCAGCCCAGCGAAACAGGGCTGTGGCGTTATTTACATGGCGAAATCTCGATCCGTCTACGGCCGAGTCGCGAAGCAGAGGCTGGCTCGTAGGATTATAAATACAAAAACAAGTAATTTCGGGAAAATAAATAGTAACCCTCGATGAAAGAAACGGAATAATTAATCAGGGTTGAAAGAATTACTCGCCTCTAAAGCTAGATGGCAGAAAAACGGGTGACGGAGAATACGAGTCTTGCAAAATAACCCTTGTCAAAATATGCATAACATCAGACCTTCGAGATGGATGACTGGGTCAAAATATTGGACTGTCAATACTTTTATCCGGGTATATTCGGCATTTCCTCTCGAGTCCAGGAGGTGTTGCGCCACAATTCGAGTTTTTTTTCAGACTTAATGCCAAAAAAAGATGGGAACAAACGAACAACAGAAATAAGATATAACCCTTTCCCAGATATCATGCTTGCCCTTCGTAGAAGCAGGCGGCATTCTTGCATTCAGCTGTTCGCACCATCATCACTCCAAAGGTCCACAAGGGCGTCTCAGCTAGTCAGTAATCAGACCTCGGATCCTTTCCGCATATTAACAAAATCGTGCTATCTGTCAAAGAAGTCTTGTCACACTAGCATGCCTAAAGGGAAGAAGCGCGTAAGGATCACCCAAGTTGTGGTAAAAAACATTTGCTTCCATGGCCCGCAATCCTTCAGCCACTTTCTGCAACCAGAGACTGGGTCAAACAGCCACTCATCAAATAGCCTTTAAACAAAAGATTGCAGAAATGAAGGTTGGTATGACCCCATAGTGATGCCAGAAAAAGATTTTTTTAGAGCCGTTTTAAGCCTAAAGACTAGGTTAAGATGAATTATACCGAGACTGGGTCCTCTGTATAAGTAGAAGTGGTTCGAACCAGTTTCTCTACAAAGTTTCCATAGTGACTGTGAAAGCTTCAGATTGAGAACCAAAGAGTCAGAATCAGGATACATTAGTCTTTCAAAGGGACTGCCTGTACCGAAACTCTGCTCAAATGGCTTTATTCGACAATGTGATGTGCCTGATCTCTGGACCTGCGCAGGAAGGCCACCCTGCACCTCACTATTCGGAGACATACATGAGAGATTCCGTCAGCCAGGCAGCATATCCTTTGACAAAAAGCCAAGAAGCAATGTGGAATGACTATACTGCTAATCCTTTGGGAACGAAATACAACCTGACTCTCGAATGGGACCTCCGAAAGTGTGAGGGGCCGCTGCCTGCTGTCTCTGACATTGTTGGAGGCAAGTAATTGCCAATAGAGTTTCTGAAACGGTGCAAAAAGAGTTCTAACCAAAAAAACGTGCAGTGATTGGCGAATTGACGACAAGGCATGCTACACTCCGCTGTAGCATCAAGACTGTGCACAACAAGCCTCATGTTGTCGAATACCGTGCTGGCTCCGTCGATCCTGAAGTCCGACTCGTTCAGCGCAGCAAAAACACGATTTCTCAGCCGACAGTCACGGAAATTCTGCACAGGCCTTTTCTCCTAGACAGAGAGCTTCCAGCGCGATGGGTCATTCTTCAAGATCCTGACACATTTCGAGTTTATGTCGTCGGGCACCATATCGTAATCGATGGGCAGTCTATGAGCATACTGTCGCGGGAGTTCTTGGACCTACTCAGACCATCTAGTACGGCGCTACCACCAACTACACCCTTCAGAGACATGCATATGATCGAGGTACGTGCTACCCCCAGGGTGCAAGCCCCGAGATGTCGTTGACACAAGCTAACATTCTATGCGTAGCGAGCTTGGCTCAACACTGCGGCGTATAAGTTGGCGCAGAAGACGTTACTTGATCAGATCAAAAACATGCATCAAAGTCATTGGCCAGCCCACCTATCGCCACCACAATGCCAGCGCGGTACTGCCGTGGATTATCGATCCATAGATGCCTGGGCTTCGTATTCTAAATCGGTGAGAATCTCGTTAATCCAACGTCCCGCCTATAACACCATCTAACACTCCTTCTCAGGAACTAGAAGAGTGGAGCCAAATGTACAAAACATCGTGGTTTCGAGTCGCAACGGCGCTCGTCGGCCTTCTCGTTGCCGACCGTACGCGCCCGCCTCTGGGCAAAGAAGAAGTCTTATCTGTAGGCTTTGGTGGCCGTCCGCAAGAGATGAAATCTTCATGTGTGGGCCAGTTTGCCAATGCTCTCCCAGTGAAGTTGCCCCTGTGGCAGATTCTTGAGCAAGGCGACGGAAGCTTTCGCTCTCTCGTGTCGGCAGTGGGGAAGAACCTCAGTGCGGTAAAAAAGGCCGAGTTATTTCCCGTTATTGAACTGGCGAGAATATCTCGAGAGTCTGGAAATGACTACCAGCCTCCCAAAGTTGCTGTCACCTACTCCCCGAAGCTGGCAAAGGCAGGTTGCCGCCTTTTCCCAGTCGAGGGGCCCTGGGACCTTTTCGTATGCTTCTTGGAGGAGGAACATGATGTCAATCTTGGGGTTATATATGACCCTAGATTGTTTTCTGGCTCTGCCATTGAGGATATGAAGTCGCAGTGGACACGTTTTACTACCCTAAGCAAAGTTGATGGCGTGGAGCTTCGAGAAATGCTAACGTGGCTACCCAAGCACATCTCCTTGCCCAAAGAAGACCCAGGAGAATGGAATCCGCTGATGCACATTCACCAGTGGTTTGATGCTCATGCCGAGACAAACCCTGACGCTCCCGCACTTTCCTCCAAGGAGCTGGGAATCCTGACATATGGGGAGCTATACACCTCGACAGAGAAAAAGGCACAATTTCTTTTGCAAAATGGTGCAAAAAATGAGGAACGAATTTTAATTCACCTTGCAAGAGGATTTTCGATTCTCGAGTGGACGCTGGCTATTCTCAAGACTGGCGCGGCCTTTGTCTACCTCGACGCAGAAGCTCCTCTGAACCAAAAGACTGCAATTATCGACAACTGCAAACCAAGGTTGATCATCGACGAGGAAACAGTCGAAGCTTACCATTTGGAAGCTTCTCAGCTCAAGATCAACAGCAAAGAGGTACTTGCTGCCAAATTCGGCACCACTGACTCCAATCTCGCCTATGTTATCTATACCTCAGGATCAACTGGAAAACCAAAGGGTGTCATGGTTGAGCATGGGAATATTTCCAGCTTTGTCAAAGCAGCTTCTGGAATATACAAATGTGGATACGGCTCTCGCATCCTGCAGCTGGCATCCTTCTCTTTAGACGCCTCTATTCTGGAGTGGACAGCAGCGCTGTGCACTGGTGGGTGCCTATGTTTCGCAGAACACCCAAAGCAACTAGTTGGAGAGTACCTCGCCGACGTCATCGAGGATAATGCGGTTTCATTTTTGCAGATAACGCCGACCGCTCTTGAGACACTCAGCGTCAGTCGAGCACTTCCCAGTCTTCAACTCATTTCCGTCGGCGGAGAGGCAGTTTCTCGCGATCTGTTAGCAAGATGGCACCCCCGTGTGGACCTAGTCAATGCCTATGGTCCAACAGAATGTGCAATTGCCGTGTCAATCAATAAAATTGAACGAGGCAATACTCTGGTGGACGAACTTGTCACGGCGGGACGTGCCAACTCTGGCACTACCATCTCCATTTGCGCAGAAGGATTTGGTGCTATTCTTGGCGCCGAGCGCATCGGCGAGATTTGCGTCTCTGGTAAGCAAGTGGCCCGTGGCTACTCTAATCTTCCAGAACAGACGACAAAAAGCTTCAAGCCGCATGGTGATACTGGTGAAAGAATGTATTGCACTGGTGATAGAGGTCGAATGCTTCTAGACGGCTCGATTCTGGTCATGGGACGAGTGGATCGTGAGCTGAAGGTGAGAGGCTTTCGTATCGCACCAGAAGAGATAGAAGAGGCCATATTTGATGCCCAGTGTGGGGTTACTGAAGCATCCGTTTTGACTTCCGAAGATGGAAGGGAAATGGTGGCTCTCGTCACTCCCGAATCTATCTCAACCGAATCACTCCTACGCAAGCTAAGAATGCTCCTGCCTCCCTACAAGGTGCCCTCCAGAATTGTGAAAGTCGAATGTCTACCGAAGAATTCGAGTGGAAAAACCGATCACGCCACTGTGCGACGAGAGCGATGTCGCTTTCTGCCAAAATTCAACCTGATGCCAGAATCGTCAAGCTCGGAACACAGCTCCGAAAGCCACAGCGAGAATTCAGAGTCGGACTCTTACCAAGATGATGAGGAAACAATAACCAAAATCTGGTCGGACGTTCTATGTCTCAAAGACGCTCCAGCATCTAATATCAACTTCTTCGATATTGGCGGCCACAGTCTTTTGGTGCCCAGGCTCCATGAGAGGCTCAAGGCTGCATTTCCCAACAGATGTATTCGTCTCGTGGATCTGTTCCACCAATCTACAATCGAAAACCAGTCTGCGCTTCTTGGAGATTCGACAGTCAAGAAGCGTAAGACCAAGAGGACGAAACGAGTCGCAATGGCGAACAATGACCGCAGGCGTCAAGGAAAGAGCCGGTCGGATACCCCGAGCAGCACACCTAGCAGCAGAGCAACAAGTAAGAGGCCATCGCGCCATTCTGCTATGACATCTAGAATTGCTTCCAGGCGTTCCAGCCCTGCCACCGTCGCCACATCTGTGGCAGCGGAAGACGACATGGAGCTGGATGGCGTCGCTATCATTGGTCTTGCCGGCCGCTTTCCAGGCGCCAAAACCCCAGATGAGTTCTATCAAAAGCTCATGCAAGGTTACTCTGGCATCACGCCTGCCAGTAACACTGAGCGCAAAACCCTTCCCGGCAATCTCTGGGTGCCACAAGCTGGCTCCCTTGACAATGTCGAAGAATTTGACCATGAATTCTGGCACCTGTCTCGCGAAGAGGCTACAGAAATGGACCCTCAACAACGACTGTTTCTTGAGGTCGCGTATGAAGCCTTGACAGACGCTGGGTACGATGTAGGTCACGGCGGAAACCCGGAATGTGGTGCTCGCGCTGGTATTTTCGTGGGCTGTGCCAACAACGCCTATCATCTGCATACAGAGTCGGTGGCCACAGATCCTTTCTTGAAAGAGAATCGCCCGATGGTGGCCCCTTCCATTTCTGCTCGAACAGCATACCACCTCAACGTCAGAGGGCCGAATGTTACCATTCAGACCAACTGTGCCAGCAGCAGTGTTGCTCTGTCCTTGGCATTTGATTCCCTCCGCCTAGGTCGCTGCGACGTTGCCATAGTGGGAGGAGTTTCTGTTCAGCTATTCGAAGGCGGCTACGTGACCCAAGATGGACAGATCTTTTCTCCCAGTGGTGTATGTCGCCCTTTTGACGCACAGGCCGACGGCACCGTGCCGGCAGACGCCGTGACGTGTGTGGTCCTGAAACGCTACAGCACCGCAGTCCTGGATGGGACGTCCATGTACGCTCGCATACTCGGAACTGCAATCGGATCTGATGGAGCTTTGGAAAAGGTAGGCTACCAGGTTCCTTCGCCCCGTGGCCAGGCAGAAGTCATCAAGTCGGCTTGGAAGACAGCGGGACGTGTACCGAACAAATTGCGATATGCGGAAATTCATGGCAGCGGTACGCCTATCGGGGATGCACTGGAGCTAGAAGGCCTTGGCCTTGCTCTGAGGGAGTTGGGTAGCTCTCACCGGTTCACTGTTGGGTCAGTCAAGGGCAATATCGGCAATGCACAGCATGCTTCTGGACTTGTTTCCCTGATCAAGATCTGCAAGTCGATACAGGCCGGTACCATTCCACACACCAAGGGCCTGGAGTGCCCCAATGCCATGATCAATCCAGCTCTGCCAATTGATCTTGCCATGCTACCTACAAAGCTAACTAGAGATGACATTGTCGCTGTATCCGCTTCCGGCTGGGGCGGTGTTGATTCGCATGTTGTCTTGGGCTTTCCTCATCAGGAAAGCCTGCTCAAAATGTCGACAATATATGTCCCCGAGGGTATATTCGACCGCAGAGCTCTCCAGGCTCCAAGACGCAAGGGTTGTGCTATGCCGGTAGCTAAGCCTTCAGGCACAATTGTGGATAAGAAATTGGGTCTAGCTATCAGTGCTTTCGTTCGGGTTGCTTCCGAGATCCTTGAGACCAAAATCGAACCCCAAAGCAATCTGAAAAATTCTGGTCTTTCTAGCGCGCAATATGTGGCGTTGATAAGTTCTGTGGCCAAGGAGTTGTCAGGGCCCAATATCGGGTTAGTATAAGCTTACTTGACCAATACTTATGAGCAAGCAGTAATATTGACTGGATACAGGGCTATCGGGTTTGTGACCCCTGTGTTGTCGCCTGCTTCACTGGCTGAATTGTTCGTCTCGCGGGCATCTCGCGGGCGTCCAACGCAGACACCGAGCCCTGCACTCCCACTGCTAAATGTAATCCGCCAGGGACGCAAGGATTCCTTGTATTTCTTCATTCCGGGCTCTGACGGGTTGCTCACCGGCGCGGGGCCGCTCTTCGCTAGCCTTGACACAGATACCACTATTCTGGCAGCGGAACATCCACACCAAAATCCCAGTGAAGAATTCATCGGGGCCTACACCGAACTTGTCGTCTCTGCCCTGGAGCCTCATATCAAGAATGTAACTCTCGTTGGTGTCTCTATGGGAGGGCTACTGGTTCCAGATTTGGCTCGTGAGATCTCAAAGAGCCCTGCGGTTGAAAGAGTGAAGGTGATATTGCTAGACGCTCCGGCGCCGGCGGCTGAGACGTCACAGTGTGTCGGACTCGAGGCAATCTATATTGGCGCTCAGGATGGCCAGCTGCGCTCGGGACATGGTGTGGAGGAAGCCTGGGCAGAGATTTTCCCAATGATGACGGTCGAGAGACTACAGTGCGCCCATGCCGATATTTGGGGGATATCGCAGGCTGACAAGACAGGGGCCATCATGTCGAATTTTTGTGAAAAGTAAGGCAGAGAGTAATTTGGATGCGCTGCCGCTGCAATTGTTGGAAGATCTGCTAAGCCGACGAGGGAAGCCCTAAAGGCGGACAAGACACGTCGTGGCCGATTCTGAGATGCTTGAAAATGTCAGAAGAATAACGAATAGAATGCAAGTTAGGAAAATAAAATAAATCAACTTTTACCCTGTCTTCTTCGCCTCGACTTTTCTCTGCTCTGTGAACCGTAATCGTCCAGCACCTCCACAAATTTCGTCAGCCAGGCTGGCGACGTCGTCACTTGTCTCGGAACTTGGGCCGCCCCACAGCACATGGTACCTCTCACATTACGTGCCGTCATCAATAAATATATCTACGCGTACCGCCCGCTGCCCCGAATACTTCAACACTTCAGTCGAGATGATACGGAGACCAAGTCCCTGAACAAGACACGAGGGCAACGCCGGCCTCGGGCCAGCTCTACTATCACAACATACGATGACGTCGGTCGAGACACAACAGCTACGCAATGGTAACCGATGACAACGCGTCGGCCGATGGCCCCAATGAGTCATCAAAAGTATCGTCAAACGATGCGACCGATTCAAAACCTCACGCTAGCCGAGCGACCACGGCAGTGACTGCTGTCGACATACAAACGCTGTCCTTCCCCGATGGATCACGAGGCACATTCCAAACACCAGGGGCGAGGTCGGTATCGACGCCAGTACCCAGCGGCTATGCTTCTCCTGGATACAAGGCGAGCCATTCGGGAGCGGAGGGAGATGATGGAGCAAGCGTCATGAGTTTTGTGCCGACAATGCGACCGACCGGTGACATTGCGAGTCTGTTTGTCGGCGACCTTGGCAAGCGCAGTGTGGCGTGGAACATGCTGCGCTCGCAGGCACCCACTGTCCAGCCATTTGAATCAAGCCGCTACCGACAAGATGATATGCTGGCAAATTTTGAAGAAGAGTTTGAGCCGGTACCGACCGAGGCCACAGACGAAATGGACGATGCGTCGCGAGTCACCATGTGGAAAGCAAAGCTCAAGCACTACATGATTCTCTCGTCAGCCGGGAAACCCATTTGGAGTCGCCATGGAGACTTGATGCTCATCAACTCCTCGATAGGAGTGATGCAAACTATCATATCCTTCTATGAAGGCGCCAAAAGTCCTCTGCTAGGATTCACGGCAGGCGACGCAAGATTTGTGGTGCTGACCCGAGGCCCCCTCTACTTTGTGGCCGTCAGCAAGCTGGGCGAAAGCGACTCGCAGCTGCGCGCGCAGCTCGACGCGCTTTACATGCAAATTCTTTCTACGCTCACCCTACCGACTTTGAAAAAGATCTTTGTCCACAGGCCGTCGTCGGACCTGAGAAAGCCACTCGAAGGCACCGAGTCGCTACTCTCTTCACTCGCTGATACGTTTACAAGAGGCTCGCCAACAATGCTGCTGGGATCACTGGAATGCCTCAAGCTCCGCAAGTCGCAGCGACACTCGATTAACAACACGTTTCTGAAGCTCCGCTCGGACAAGCTTTTATACGGACTCATCATTGCAGGTGGAAAACTTGTCAGCGTCATTCGTCCGCGACGACATTCACTGCATCCAAGCGACTTGCAGCTCATATTCAACATGCTATTCGAGTCTGATGGCATTAAAGGTGGAGGAGGTGAAAATTGGATACCGCTGTGTCTTCCTGCCTTCAACAACGAAGGTTATCTATACATGTATGTCAGCTTTTTTGATGACGACCGGAACGCACCAAAAGACGCCGCAGATGGCCAAGAACAATCAAGCTCTGCTAGTCAACAAATCGCCATGGTCCTGATTAGCACCGACAAGGAGAGCTTCTTTGGCCTCCAAAAGATGCGTGATGACGTGTCCCAGCAACTGGCCAAAAACGGCAGCCTGGCCTTTATTCGGAACGCCGTACGGGCTGGGCGGCCGCAGATTGCTCAGATTGTGCCAGCAAACCCGATGAGCCACTTTCTTTACAAGTCCAAGGCCAACGTCCAATTCTGCATGGCTGCACTGGAGCCGCCGTTTGACGCCATCTCCGATCGCCGTCGGCTAATGAGTCTGTACCACGAGATGCACGCTGCCGTGCACGCCAAACATACGCACCTCAGAATCTTGCACAACACGAGCGAGGATTCCACGTCGCTCGCGTGGGTCACGCCGGTGTTTGAGCTATACTGCGTGGGAGGGCCCAACATGTCGCGGGCGACCATGGGACAGGGCGCCAACCAGATAATCCAGTGGGCCAAGAAGGAAGAACAGCGGCTTTTTATCATTGGGGGCGGTGTCTTTTGATTACCGCTATTGTAAACCAAGGAACTCAAGAAGTGAGATGTCAACTCCCGAGCGTAGCTCAATAACCGTTTTTATATACAGAAAATAAGAAAAGAAAACGCCAAGCCTGAAGCGCCTAGTATGAGTGATTCTTTTGCCACTCATGTGTGTACCCGCCCAATCATTAAAATAAAGTAGATCATCCACGAACCTCCATCGCATTACTCGTTCAAAGTGTAGAACATCATCCCCTGCGGCATTTCAAATCTTTTCTCCTTGTCTTGTTTTATTTGCGTGATTCTGTGGTGGCAGCTTCGGCGGAATGATCCACCTTTGAAAAGGACCCCTCCGCCGGCTCGTCGGGCGACGTTGGGCGGCTCTTGAAGATGAGAGATCTCCTGGCCCAGCCCCTCACGCGGTGGTTGACGCTGGGCTTGCGCATCGTCGTCGACGACGACGACGCTGTCGTCTTTTGACCCCAGGGGAACTCGCGCCAGGGCTCCGTGGGCGACTGCGCGGGGAACGAGGGCGTGCGCATGGAGCTGCCGGGCGAGCAGCGGCGGATCGAGTCGTCGAGGCTGGCGCGTCCCTGGGAGGAGGACGAAAAGGAGCCCGGCGAGGCGACGGTGTAGTGGGAGGCGTTCATGATGGCCTCGGAAAAGGGCGCGTCAAAGTCCTCGCGGAATCGGGGGCTGCGCGGGCCGGGGTAGTCTGAGAGGCGCCTGGGCGGCATGGAGATGTGAAGCGTCGGCTTTGCAGACATGGTGTTGTAAAAGCTTTTTATTTAGGTTTGCGGGTTTGGTTTTATGGATATGTGAAAGGGTCGTCTGCGATGTTGGATGAGCCGGCTGGCGGAAGGGGGGCGGAGGGCGACGACATATATCGAGCGACACCTGATATGAGGAGGTTGAGTATGACGGCGTACGACGGGAACAACGAGACGGTGACACATTGAGAGTCGCAGCCTTTTTTAAACAAAGTGCCGGTCACGCAGCAAAGAAAGCAGCGGTCTTGGTGCAGGTGTGGGGAATCAAGGGTCTCTTCAGATGCTACGCCTTGGCAAAGAGCTCCCGTCTTCTTGTCGTGGGGCTGCTTGGCAGCTAGTTGGCAAAAGGAACTATTAGATAGACTAGCCTAGCCCTATTGGCATGGAAACAATTGGTCAAGGCGACAATGTGGTGGGTACATGGCTTTAATTAGCCGCATGTGTCAAAAGGGCGAGTTCCAGACTCTGCTCTTGGACTTGAAGTCTGGAAACCACAGCACCACTAAGCAGTGAGTGGGCCACTGGAAATTACACACACACTCAGAGTGAAGAAGAAAGAAGAAAAAAAAAAAAGGTTGATCCTTCGCAAGTCGCTAGTTGGCTCCAGAATCCCCAAGGGGCGCCTGCCGATCACACTAGCTGCAAGGTATAAATGAGAGAGGGCCAGAGAGTTCGAACCATTGCCAGGGGAAGTGGTGCTGCACGAGCCTAGCCAGGGGTTCATGACGCCTATACAGAGGATGCATCAGTAGACAAGTACGTATCAAGGTTAGCAAAAGAGGAGAAGAGAAAGATGCGAAGCGAAACGAAATTACAAAATTCTGGTGATACAGCTGCCAGCAACGAGTCTGCGAAATGCAGGCTTGTGTCTCGCACAAGTGTGACAACCACGACTTGCTAGGCACTGTGTACCTAGGTAACCCCCACCTTCATTTCGGCCACAGCCTTGGTTTGGACCTTGGCCCCGTTCGCACGTGAGCGGTCGGGGTTGCAAGCCAAACGAGAATAATAATAGGGGGGGGAGAGAAATCGAAAAGATCAACAACGAGAAAAGCCAAGGTGCTGACACGGGGATGCGACACCAACCTAACAGGAATACAGTGGGTGCCCGCGCACTGATGGATATTTGTGGCGATTGAGCGTTGAGATTTTGTCGCCGCTTTGGACACTGCGTCAATGGCCAACGGCGGCCCGAGCATGGACTGTCACCCCGCTGCAACAACTTGACTGCACATGAAAACTGACACCTTGCAGTCGACTGCCGCCCGTGCATGTGACTCGTCGCTTTGTTATATTGAGTATGCGTTTTTTTGACAAACGCCAACCTCACCACACACCTTTATATGCCACCTCCCACCATCACGACAGCGCCATCATCATCACGCTGCTAAGCGTTGCCGTCATCGGCCCTACATTGATGCCTGCCGAAAAGTCAAAAGATACAACAATACACAATTCTTGCTGCTTCTCGCCTATACTCGCCTTTTATCGTCCCTCGCACCCCCGCACCTTCGTAGTCTGTTGTGACAATGTCCGCCTCTCTTTACTTGGTCCCTCACGCTCTTGCCACCAAAAAGCCATGTCGCCAAGTGTATGGGCAGGCAGGCAGGCAGGCAGGCAGGCAGCAAGTCGCTGCCATCCCTCAATTCTCAAGGTCAATTCTTTCTCTCGTGCATTGGAACCGTGACTGTTCTGTCGCTCCATGCCCTGGCAGACAACGCAATGCACATCTTGCTCCGATATACTTGAAACTTTTGCTCTTGCTGAAAACGATTGCCTTTTGACAACACTATCCTCACCCTGGACCGGGCTGCCGACTTTGCTTCCGATTTTCCTCCTTTCGACTTAGTCTTATATTTATCAGCGTTGACCTACACTATTATCCCCGGTGTGCCAAGTACGCCACCAGGTTGAACAATCCAGCTTCCCAGCACTGCAATGGATGTGTCTCAAACTCACAAAGCTGCCGGCTTCCCTGCCAGCAATATAGCGCCTCGAAGCTCTAGCTCAAGGTCTTTAAGGCCTGCGGGCCTGGAACAGGAGTTGGCGAGATGGCCACTCCGGACAGTGGACGATAATGCGGCAGCAGCTCGACAGTTGGCGGCCTCCCAAGCACGCCAAAAAATGTCACATGGACCAGAGAATTTCGGGCATCATGTCACCGTCGATGGAGATTTCTCCGCTACATATCATGCACCTCTACGTCCAAGGCGCGGTCTCTATGACCCAGCTTTTTCCAGAGACCCAACAACGCGCAGCTTTAACGAGGGCCAGTTAGTCCATGAACGAAGAGTACGATCCTACAGGGACACAACATCCGAAATTATATCATTATATGCGTCTCGAAATGCAACGACTTATAGTTCCGCCATGGCTCGACACGATGACGATGCTTCCTCGAGAGCCTCACATTCAAGGTACCCCGTCAGTCAACGCCAGATGCAGTCAAACAGTACGCACCATCGAAATCCTTCTTGGCAGCAATCTAGAACGCCTGGGCCCTATCCTACGCGGCTGAGGCGTCCCGGCACAAGTATCAACTCACCAACCATGGCCGATGCCCGAAGCAGGGAGTACAGCAGAATGATGGACGGCGAGCGTGGCCCTCAAGTAAAGCTCGTTCCTAATAGCGAAGATTATGATGACTGCTAACACAGGAACAGAGGGCGGCACACAACCTCTACAAATTATCGCTTGCTAACAATCAAAGACGAGCCCCGCCAATGTCTCTCCGTGCCGAAATGAACAGGTCATCCAGCTCTCTGCCGTCGAGATCTTCACCCAGTCCGAACCACTACATGACAGTATCGGGCTGCGCTAGAACGCCGAGTTCCACCGTGTCTTGGGCATCACGACCCTCTGATCGGTATTACATGAGTTCGACTGATCAGAGTAGTAGATCCGCGAGCTTGACTTCAATTGTTGAGATGTACCAGCGGCCAATGACATCTAGCAGTACTTGTCCAGCCTTGCGGCCTAGCGGCACCCTGTACTATGATTATACCGAGGACTTCAATGATTCGGGTTCTGAGGCCGCCCGCCATCCGGATATGCCACTCTCTCCCGTCCCCCACAGAGCCGGCAGGGGCTCGCAGCCGGCCATCCTACAACAAGATATGGAATCAAAAATGCATGGTAGCATAAATATCACTTCGCCTTCGGGACCTGCACACGCTCCTTGTCAAAGAGTTTATAGCCAGACAGGCAGTAGCATGGAGGAATCCTTTGGCTCATACCTCCAAGGTAGCCATGATGATTCTATTGAGGAGATCGAACGGGCTATTGCGGATGCAATGTCTAATGCCGCGGCAGACAAGCTCATGGCAGCCTCGGAACACACAGATGCTTATACAGAGGTGTTTGGCACTAGAAAGGGAGAAAATCAAACGGCGACGAATGATACTAATATACCCAGACGACTTCCTGCTACAGAAAGGCAGTACGGCTTAAAGACAGCAGCCCCGAATATGGAGATGAGTAACAAGGCGAGGCGAGCATCGCAGTTGAGTCTGAACAAGAATGTCATGGCGCTGGATCCCGCATTTGCAGATTTTACGTCTTTGCTTTCTTCCTTTGAAAGATTGGCAAAGTCTCCCTTTTCGAGGCTCAGTGACGAGGACGATGCTGATGAGCGACGCAGTAGACGAAGCAGCAAATTATCGACGATGGAAACACTGGATGAGATGGAAATTGCGGAGAACCCGTTCCCGAAGCGTCATCATCGTAACATAGCCGCCGCAAGGACTAGCACCCCAGCGCTCAGTGCAGAAGAATCCCTGGCCGAGCATCCATCATCGTCGGAAGAGGATATACTGGTTCTCGCACCTGAACCTCTGTCCCCCCATCGTGAGAAGAAAGTTCGCAATGAGCTGCATCAGAGATTTATGAAGGCGCTACCGCCACTTCCGGCAGAGACGCTCAGCACTCACCCCGCTCAGGCGATTCAAGGCTCCGAGCTAAAGCAGAATAAGAACGACTCCGCCATCTCTCAGGTTCGCTCATTGTCTCTTAGGAGTCACATATCACGCTCGGGTAGCCCCGGAAAATTGAAGCTGCGTGTTCGTACGCCAACCCCGTCCGGAGAAACTGAGCACGCAGCGGCATGGAATGGTGGCCGACGAGAACGACGCTCCGCTGACGATGGTAGATCAACCAGCAATTTCAAGCCTCCTCCAAAGCTCAAGTTGAAAATATCGCGAAACCAGCTAGGCCAAGGACGAAGTGGTCAAACTGGAACAGTGATCCGTAATAACCGACTAAAGCAGTGTAATGCACTGGCGGACGTGGCACCGCCACCACGCATCGATACTGATAAGAGAACAGAAAGAGCCAACGACGTGGCGAGAATAAGTGAAGGACATGAGCTTTTGGCCGCAACTGTCGCCCAACGGAACAGTGCAGGCGGATCGTGCCAGCCATCGGATCAGTTCAATCTTTCGTATCCGCCCACTCCAGTCGAAAGTGCAAATGCCATGTTGCCACGAACAGGATCTCCTCGCGAATCGATCGAGGAGATGCAAAGAGTGCAGTCAGACTCTGGTGAGGCAGAAGTGCGCCGCGTTAAGCCAAAATTTTCGTTTTTACGATTACGATCCGCGAACCAGGCAGCACCCACCACACTTACCAAACCCGCACCTGGCCATACTTGCATCAGTAGTGAGCCTCATATGAGAATTACAAAGGTCAATATCCCTGGTGACTCAACCAATCAGTTTGATTCGACTATGGATAAAAATTCGGCTAGAAGTGTGTCGATCAAATCGGAGCGGATGGGTAATCGAGTGAAGCGATGGGCAACGGGCGCCAAGCGCGTGTTTCGGTCATACGTCAGGCGTACACTGATTCGGTCTCCCAAGAGCGCAAAAACGTAGAAGGGAGAGCATCTGGAAGCTCCAAATACTAGGTATGGCTGCCACTTTCCCGCCCCGGAATGAGATGAGTGTAAAGCGGCCCGATTGTATAAGTCATGGAACTGCTTGAGAGAGTCGCAGCTTTGCGCGCGAGAGATTATAGTTAATTGTGATAATACAGACTCAAACTAGCAATATCATCAACCCTCTATCAATGATTCTCCCTGTTCTTAATATTTGAGGTGGATTTTAGACGACGCCCCCGAAGTGGACGGCGTTAGTGTAATTTACCGACGGAGGCCCAAGTCCGAAGAGCTGGCTGGGCTTTGCGAGACAACCACATGACGAGTCAGGAAAGCCGGGCAATGCTGGGGTAAACTGGGATAAAGCAACTACATTTTGATCTATACTCTGAGTTGACCAAGCCTCTTTTTTTTTTGCAGAATCTTTGATCAGTATGACTGGGCGAGACTATTCGGTAGCGACTGGCCTTGACGTACGCCTCGCCGCGCGAAACGGAAAACATACGGGGCCGACGTCGGGCCTTGCCCCCGGATTCTTACAAGCCAACATGCTGGTCCTTCCAGTCGAGTACGCCGACGATTTCAGAAGACTCTGTGCGCGCAACCCGGTGGCATGTCCCCTGATTGCCGAGTCCTCCAACGCGGGCCGTTTTGACAGCATCACGGGCTGCTCGCCAAACTTGACCACGGCAGGCGGCTGCGACCTGCGGACCGACATTCCGGCGTACATGGTCTACCGCGACGCGGTGCTGGTCAAGTCGCACTGCCGGGACATTCTCGAGGAGTGGACGGCCAGCCACGTTGCCTTTCTGATTGGGTGCTCGTACAGCTTCGAGACGGCGCTGGCGGCGGCGGGCCTGCCGGCGCGGCACGTCGCGACGGGGCGGCGGCGCAACGTGCCCATGTACCGGACGACGAGGGCGCTATGCCCGGCAGGGGTGTTTACGGGGGCCACGTACGTGGTGTCGATGCGGCCGTATCGCAAGAGGGACGTGGACAGGGTCAGGGCGGTGACGAGGCGGTTCGGCAAGACGCACGGCGAGCCGCTGGCGTGGGGTTGGGCGGCGCTGGAGGAGCTGGGGATTCGGGACGTTGATGCGCCGGAATGGGGCGATGCACCGTTGACGGAGGATGGGAGGCCGTGGGGGGAGATGAGAGGACGTGAAAAGCAGGAGAAGGAGGAGGGGGAGGAGGAGGAGGAGGAGGATGGTGAGGTGCCAGTGTTTTGGGGATGTGGCGTGACGCCGCAAGAGGCTGTGATGAGAGCTGGACTGAAGGGGGTGGTGATGGCGCATGCGCCGGGGCATATGCTGGTGCTGGATGCGAGAGATGAGGATATTGTGAGCTAAAGATACAGAAGAACTTTTAGATTGGGGGTTTTCCTCGAATAATTTTCAGGTTGCATAGCACGCGTGTATTTGCAGACTGATTTTCATACGCCAGTCTGAGGAGATGGCGAGAGATGATTGAGGACTTGCTACGAGAATGAGGGAAAGAGATTATGACCTCTCTCTCTATTGATTGACCTACCTGCAAATTTCTATAACATTGAAGAAAGAATGGGATTCACATATCATGCACAGCAAAACATTATCACTGTTGAAAGTAGGAGTATGCTGTGATCTCTACCTCTAAGGCTGTTGGCTAGTTTGGAAGTCGTAAGCGCCTTGACTATCTTCGGGACAGCCGACTATTTTCGGGACAGCCAAATAACGAGAGCCATCCTAGAAGCACCGGTTAGCACAGGAGAAGAAGTGTGGGTAGATCTACATTTTTCTCACAGAAGTTGACTTTATTTCCAGATAGATGTAAATTACTCGATATGGTGACAGCCTCAAAGGGCGACGGTCCAAGTAAAGATGGTAGAGACCGCTTGGGTGTGGAAGCTGCCAAGGGATACGCAAATACTTGCAGGGCCATGATCACCGGTCGGTCTGTCGGTAGGCGGCTCGAAAAGAACAGCCGACCGTCCTGGACGGGTTCCGTTTCGTGGCGATTAAGAACAACGGTGGGCGTCTTTACGGGCCGGGTGTCGTATCCCTTCAAGATTGTCCGCAATTCCTGTACAGCTGCTGATCCTGGGTGTTATCGACCTAGTCTCGGCGCACGCCTTAGACAACGGAACACGAGCCAGCTACAAGCCACGATACAGAACACACACCGTCCTCAGTTGATGGCCCGATCGCGGATACATGACCTCGCTTTGGCTCCCATCTTGTGGCTCACCGCAAGGGGGAACAGCAATCCATTATGGCTTCAAGTTCGAAGAAGAAGAGATGCAAGGCTCTATACACGGGGAACGTAAACCATGGGTGAAGATGTCGACGGCCAAGCAAGCCTTGAAGCCACCACCCCATATATGCAGCCAATTCCAACGTAACCACACCGACAAAGGTTGCAGGGGTAAACTTCATCGCTCGGAGCAGATCAAGGAGCTTTGGTTCCGGAGTGCGAAGAAAAATAGCGCACAAGAGCCGGAAGAGCGCTACGGCGGCGCCGACTGAAAAAGTCAGAAGAGGGCTCATACAGAGCATGGAGTAGATCATGTACATTAGTCTCCATGGATGTTGTGAAATGCGCCTGTGCTGACTGCCGCCTGAGAAATGATCGGAAAATGGACTCTCTTGAAGCGCTAGCTGTGCTTCCTCATCGCCACGTAGGGGTGTCGGGTCGTCTTGTGGGTTTGGTATGGATAACCTCCCAGATTCCATCTCGGACAAGTTTTCTCGCGACAGTGGCGCTTTTCGTATTAGGGCCAGTGAGTCCAACTTTAGAACGTTGACTCACTCTTTCAAAAGTTGGGTTGTTCTTTCGGTAAGGGGAAAAAAGGATGGCCCGGCTGAGTTGACGTGGACGGGGGCTACCAGCAAAAGTGACCGAATTTGAAGCTGCTTTGGTGATTGACTCGGGTACGGAGGGACCACAACAGACAGCAGAGCGGGCATGGGCTCTTTTTATATCAAGAAAGCGCCAAAAAAAAGTATTTCGCTAAAAGCAGGCGGCGGCCATCTAGCTTTGTGGCTTGAGTTGATGATGACGCGTGAGGCAGCCAAGCAGGAACCAAGAAGAAACCATTCTCACCTGTAGGCGTATTCTATGACCAACTTTCACCATGGCCAGACAGCCACCACAACCATTTATGGTTATAGCTCGTAAGTGAAAGGACACACTAAAATATAGACTAAGGTAATTAACACTTTTTGTGTTATTTGACTGTTGTAACAAAGGCTTTTCTGGTGCCCACTAGGCAAGATAGGCCTGTGTCATACAAGCGAGGAGAAGCGAGCAAACTAGAAGTGGCGGCCCACGAATACCGGCTTATTTTTTGTTACAAGAATCCTTTTCTGGGCAAGCTTTGCGTCAAAGACAAGCTCTAAACTTGTCGGTCACTGATTCATTATTGTACTTCTCTTACATGTATGCTGAGCAGTTCTGGTAGATAGTTCTGTGTTCGTTGCCCATACAAATCCCTTCGGCCTGTTCTATTAAGAAGTGCTCGACAACCACCGCCTAGGTTCCATCTTGCACCCCTCTTGAATTCACATTGTCCCCGATATCATTAGACAGTGCTCTCTTACTAGCGCTCTCTTACTAGCAGCGAAGTAAGACCGCTTGAAATTCGCAGTTGTGTAAGTTGGCACACGAGACCGCGGCCTCGCATGCCCCAGCCTGATACTCTTCCTCGTCCGATTGCGGTATAAACTAAAATGATGTCCTGTACCTTATAAACTCTGTAACTGACCGAGACCCCGCTGAAACCCCGCCCCCGCCGCTGAAGACCGAGGGCGACAGCGCCTGACGGACCCGGTTCAGCCGCTCTAGCCGGGCACCACTCACTACCCTTCTTCAACTTCAGCATAATACAGCCTGCAATAACAGGTTTTGACAGGTGTGCGTTTGGCCTGCGGGCCACTGTTCCATTTTTATGATTTTAAATTGCATGTGTGAGTAGGAAGCCAATCGCAATGGAAGAAACGCAGACTCCGATGGGAGAGTCGATTCGCACCTCGTGAGTTGCCGAGAGTCTCCATCTCTTGGTAGTCAAGCTACTGACTTGAAAATAGATGCGAGCGATGTCGCCGTCGCAAGGTTCGCACATCGGGTCATTTATCATTCAGTATCATTGACTCATTTTTGGGGAAAAAAAATAGATCAAATGTGATCGCAAAAGACCCTGCTCTCGATGTGTCAAGGCCGGCAAGGAATGCATTCTGCAAGGCACCGGGGAAAAGCAACGGTAACCCGCAAATTTCTATACTTTTCCCCTACTCTACTAGAACTGACTTATTCTCACACCACAGCCCAGTGTCAAAGAGCTACGTGACTGCCCTCGAGGGCCAGATTGCCGCGCTCGAGCAAGTCATCCGCCGGCTCGCCCAGGCCGACGGTGCAGAGCGTGACGAGATTCTGGCTCAGCTCCCGGCTTTGTCCGTTGCTGCCGCTCCAGACGGTGGCGGCAGCGGCGGCTCGGGACCGGAAAAGACGGAAACGCCGCCGGATCCCAGCGTCGTCGCTGCACGCCTCCGATCAGGCCAGCTCCGGCGGTTGCACCCCAGCCAGGGCGCGCAGTTTTTTGGCGGCACCAGCTTCCTGCAGATGCATCTCTCCCGCGAGTCGTCGATGCCGGCGGGCAGCACCTCGTCGCCGCTCCCGCCGCCCGTCGTAGGCAGCACGCCCCAGGACGCGGGTTTTGATCCCGCTGCCCTACCTTCCGTCGCCATGCCCTCCGTAGGCCTCGTCTCGGAGTCGGATGAGTCGCCGCCGCCGCCGCCGCCGCCGCGCAGCAGCAGCGCGTTTCAGTACGCGCCGCACGACGAAATGTCGCAGAAGCTCATGGCGACGTTTTTCAAGGAGCAGTACCAGTACAGCATGATTGTCTACCGCGAGTACTTTTTGCGCGACTACGACGTCGGCTCCGGCCAGCACTACTCGGATGTGCTGCTCTACGCCATCTGCGCACTCGGCGCGCTGCAGCACGACGACACGCTCAACGTGTCCGATGTCTTTGCCGGCCAGGCGCAGGCGCTCCTCTACGGCTCGCTCGACAGCCCAGACTTGACGCTACTGCAGGCGTTGGTGTTGCTGGGCTACCGCGAGATTGCGGTCGGGCGGGCGTCCAAGGGCTGGCTGTTTTGCGGCATGGCGTTTCGGCTCGCGCACGAGATGGGACTACACCTGGACCCGAGCAATTGGGAGGGCGGGTCGGACGGCAACGGCGGCGGCGGCGTGATTGTGCACCGGGACCGTGAGATATTGCGGCGCGTGTATTGGGCCGTCTTCGTGGCGGACAAGCAGCTGAGCCTGTACTTTGGCCGGCCGCCCGCGCTGTACCCCAACGAGTCGGACGTGCGCAACACGATTCGGCTGCAGTATCCGCCCGACTGGCAGGGCCTGCTCGAGACGTATCTATGCGAAAAGGTGTCGGCGACCGAGTTCGAGGACGGCGTGGCGCTGGTTGGGTCGTTCATCTACCGCGCGGAGCTGTCCAAGATTATCCACGTCATGATCACGGACCTATTCGAGAATCGGCGTGGCGACTCGGACCCGGCTGTCGTGGCGGCAAAGTCGCGCCAGATTCACGTCTCGCTCACAAAGTGGCTGTCCAGCTTGCCAGGCACAGTGCACTGGAATCAGTGGACCGTGGGCAAGGTGCCGCCGTCGGTACTGCATTTACAGTAGGTGCTTTACTTGAAGGAGACGGAGGCAAGGCTAACCAAAAGATTTCAGTATGGTTTTCCACACAGTCATGATGATCCTCCACAGGCCACCCTCCAACATGTTTGACAAGCCCGGCATCGCCGAGAGCGAAGACGTCGAAATCTGCTACGAGTCGCTGCAGGCGATTCAGCGCTTGATGCGCAGCTTCTCGCGCTTCTACCGATACCGCTCGCTGCCTTTGGATTTCGTGCAGACGCTGGCGACGGCGACAGGCATCGTGCTGATGCGACGATACCTGCTCAAGGCTTCGTGGACGGACCCCGAGGTTGAGCGGTCTGTCTCGCTGCTGCTGGACGCCATGAACGAGATTCAAAACACGTGGCCGCCGGTGCGCGAGATTCGAGACACGCTGGTGCGGGCGCAGCAGAGCCAGGCAGTGCTGCCTCCTGACGTGCCGTTCGCGGGCAATGACTTGATGACGGGGATGCATTTCGATGTCGCGGCCATGGGCGATTTTATGCCAGCCTTTGGTAGTGGTGGTGGTGGTGGTGGTGGTGGTGAGGGGGCAGATGAGGATATCGAGGCGCTGATTACGGATGAATTTTTGAGTGCACAGCTGCAGACGACTGAGGAGATGCTCCAGCCGTTTGACTTTAATCAGCCTCCGGAGATGAGTTAGGTAGGAGACGTGGCAAGATGGACGAGAAGAGGCGCATGGCATGCAACGACTTGACGAGCATTTGTAGACTAGACGGAGAACAGAGATTGGGAAATGTCGGAGTTTGTAGGCGGGGCAGGAGTTTGGACATGAGATTTTATAGAAGCTTTTCGGATGAGGTTGTTATCACATTGAGGCCTCGGACGCACGCTACTTTGCCCACGATTTTCCATCATGCTGATACATCGTTTGCATGTCGCGGTACGTAGGGAAGCTCACTAGTTGACGCGCGATGACAGACTCCATTGCCCACGGTGTCGCCGAACCTGCGAGCCTCGAGAATTTTCGCTTGGTAATATTTACAGGCACGAACTTGGAGTATGTAACAGCGGGATGTTATCGACAGGGACCCGGTGGAGCGGCTGCCTCGTGTGTCTCCAACGAAAACGGTCAGGAAGGTGAGCGGAGATGGGGAGGTAATTGGCAATCGTAGCATTTCCGGATGCTGGCTCGAAATGCCAGCGAATTTTTTCACTTTGCGGTTTTCCTAGGCTTGCTCGAATTTGGTGCCACGATACCGTGTCAGCATGATAGTTGGGGGGTTGGGCTGGGAACGGCTAGTATGGTGTCAAGATTGTCATGCGTGCGTGGACAGGCTGTGATGGCGCCCATATCCGTAAACAGTGTCAGCCTCAGGCGCGAGAACTGGAAGAAAAGGGAGGGTC